GGAGGGAGCACAGATAGAATCAAGTTCCAGCCAAGAAAACTGACAGTGAGTAATTCAGGGCTAGGGTCAGAACCCCTGGTCTGGCCAACCACAGTCAATCAATTTTTGAAAGAGGCTCTCTATGCTGGGTTGTCAAACTGGCAAGATATGGACCTGAGCTGCTGGAAAGCATCTGCCCTCCCAAAGGGAGGGCCTGCTTGAGAAGGAAGACAATAAGAACAAGAGCAGAGCTGCAAGGCAGATTTCTGGCAACATCATTTAACCCCCTATCCTGCAACAGCCAAGCCTAGTATCTCTGAATTTTTTGTTTAAATTATCCAATAAATCCCCTTTTATGTTTAAGCCAGTTTTAGCTGGTTTTCTGTTCAATGCAACTAAGAGTATTAATACAAGGACCTCACATTTAGAGAGGGGTTAAAAAAAAAAGACTGAATTGTTGGTCATCTCTGGGATTCCGGGAGGAATGGGCAGCAAGATAGGCATTCTTCATTTTCTTCATGGTGCTACTTCTGAGCACAGTACCTAAGTAGAGAACCTGAACAAAGGAGATGCTTAATTTTGGAGTTAATGAATGAATGAATGAAGACAGATAAATAGAAAGTCATTAGGAGAGGCAGGCAGTGTGGTGCACACCTGTAATCCCAGCAATTTGGAAGGCTGAGGCAGGAGAATTATAAGTTCAAGACCAGCCTCAGAAAATTAATGAGGCCCTAAGCAATTTAGTGAGAACCTGTCTCAAAATAAAAAATAAAAATGGGCTGGGGATGTATCTCAGTGGTAAAGCACCCCTGGGTTAAACCCCTAGGACCCTTCCCCCGTCCAAAAAAAAAAAAAAAAAGTCATTAGGGAAGACCATAGGAGATAAAATGAACTCAGGCCATTTTTCTTTTTGGGGGTACTAGGCACTACAGCCAGGGCACTCAATACTGAGCCACATTCCCAGTCTTTTTTTTTTTTTTGTGGTGCTGGGGATTGAACCCTGGGCCTTGCGCATGCAAGGCAAGCACTCTACCAACTGAGCTATATCCTCAGCTCTCCCAGTCCTTTTTTGTATATTATTTAGAGACAGGGACTCACTGAGTTGCTTAAAGCCTAAGTTTCTGAGGCTCGCTTTGAAATCACAATCCTCTTGCTTCAGCCTCCCAAGCCACTGGGATTACAGGCATGTACCATAGCACCTGGCTGTTATTTTTCTTTTTTTAAAAAATATTTTATTTATTTATTTATTTTTTTTTTTGGTGTAAACGGACACAACACAATGCCTTTATTTTTATGTGGTGCTGAGGATCAAACCTGGGTCCTTCCCGTGCTAGGCAAGTGCTCTACCGCTGAGCCACAATCCCAGCCCCTGTCATTTTTCTTTATCCAGACTTTGGACAGAGGGAAAAATCTGACACAACCCTCAATTTGTATAAACTCCCTTTCCAAGAATCCTAAGCCTTGTGATGTGGCTCAGGGATACAGTGCTCAGTTAGTATGCATGAACCCTGGGTTGGATTAGCAGTACCAAAAATAAAAATAAAAAGATTCTTACTAGTACAGTGCCCCTGTGGTATAAATCAGTGGCAGAATGATTTCAAGAACCTGGGTTCCAGGAGGGCTGGGTTGTGGCTCAGTGGTACAGCGCTTGTCTAGCACGTGTGAGGCGCTGGGTTCGATCCTCAGCACCACATAAAAAAGATAAATAAATAAAATAAAGGCATTGTGTCCAACTACAACTAATAAATAAATAAATAAAAAGCTGGGTTCCATCCTCACAACAAAGGAAGAAAAAAAATGTCAGCTTCCTCAGAATGCTAATATTAGAGGTAATCTTTGCCAATTACCTTAGATTTCTCTTATCTGGGAAATGGTGAGAATATTCTCACCTACTTCCTTTAGGATTGTTGTAAGGATTAACAGATACCATACAACCAAAAGGACTTAGCAAAGAGTCTGGCAAACAGTAAATGCTCAGTAAACATTATGTTATTATTATTCAGAGTGGCTGGAGCTATAAGGGAAGTAGAGGAATCCATTACCTGTCATTGGGAACCAGGCAACTGTCTCTGGGCTGTTCAGGAGAAGACAAGTATCTGCTGGAACCCAACATCTGCAAAGAGGAAAAAATTATTAGTGACCATTATGATTCCAGGAGGAATTGGCCATGTAATAGGCACCCTTAATTTCTCCCATAGTGCTTCTTTAAGCACAGAGATCCCAAAATAATATCCCCCATTCCCAACAACTATGGGCTCAGAGACCTAAATTAAACTCTAAACTGAAGTCCATGAATCCCAAGTTGTAAATCTGAGTTACTAAATCATGACTTGGACCTAAAACTAAAACCATCCAGCAAATTCCCAAATTTTGACTTTGGTGAGATGCCAGACCCTGACATGGACACTATTAAACCTGAAAACCGGCTTCAGACCTCTCTCTATATTGTGATATAAATACACTAAAACTATGACTTCAAACACCCAAAGTGAAGACCTAGAAACCAAAAGGAGTTCCCCCATTCCTACAAATCTTAACTTCTAATACTGATACCCTAGGCCCCCCAAATGACAACTTCTGATCCTCAAATAGAACCCCAATCCTAATATCAAGCAGACCACAAACGTCAGCGCTGAAAACCCAGATCCTAAAGTATGAAATCCAAGCCCCTCCAAAGCAAATCCCAATCCCTAAATTTACTTCAGATCCTAAAATAAAGGATCTAGACCCCCAAACTGTCACTTCAGACCCTCTAATTGTGACCTCAGTCCTAAAACTGGGATCCAACATGAGTCCAAGACCCCAGACCCTAAAACTGAAGCCCCATACTTCATGTGGGGGGTTCCAGGCCCTCAAATTTAATTATCAAAGACCCAAACTGGGACTCCACATCCTAATCTCATATCCCAACATGGAGATTTGAAGCCCAAGATCTATACTGAGGCTTCACTCCCCCAAATCAGACCCCAGAATTCCAAACTAAGAACTTCCCGATCCCCCATTGAGGATGTCCCGATTCCACCAGGAAAGCTTTCAGTCAAACGCGAGATCTTCAGATTCCAAAATCCGTCCCCTCCAGACGCAAACCCTAGACCCCAGGCCTGGAGTCGAGAGCCCCAACCCCTCTGCTGCTCCACCACCTCCTGCAGTAGGTCCAACCGGCCAGGGTCCCCGAGCCTACGCCCCGCTGAGACCCCAACTCTGCCTCTGCTGCCCCGGCCTGGCCCCATCCGTGGCCCTACACCCAGCGCCCGTCCGCCCTCCTGTCCCCGGGGAGGGGGGGCCCACGGCCGCACGGTGCCACTCCGGGGACCCCAGGGTCCCCTCATGCCAGCTAGAGCGGGGGAGACCCCCGCCCTGTTCCCCTTGGCCTCCAGCACCCGCCTCAGGACGTGCAAAATGGCGTGAGGCCCTCCTTCAGCTTTCACGCCAGCCCCACACTCGGGAGTCAAATCAGACAGCCTCTCGCGCTGGTCCCGGGAGGCGGACGGCGTGCGCGCGAGAGCCCCCAGTCGCCTAGTTTTCAACCCCGGCGTGGGATGGGTGCGAATTCCCCGGGCGCTAGGCTTCAGCGCGAGCCTGTGGCGCGAGGCCTGAGGAATGGAACAGGACTGAGCTCCTGAGGCCAGACCACGCCCCTACCAGTTCGCGCCAAGGAGTGCTGGGCGCGAGACTGGAAAGCGTTATAAGGACAGGGTGCAAGTGGCCGTGCGCACGCGCGCCCGCGGAAGGGTCCTGTCCCCTTCCACAGCGCGAGCTCAGCCTCGAGCCTCCTGACAAGGCTTTTGCTGCCACGCGCCAAGGGGCTGACCAATCAGCGCTTGCTCAGCTTCCCGCCTTTTTTTGCAGGCCACGCCCCTCTTGCCCTGTTTCATTAGCTTCTCACTGTCCAGGATCCTTGAATCCTAACCAGGAGGTGGGTGTTCCCCAACTGCCAATTCTCAGGAAGAGAGATCTCGCCAGCTTCCCCTTCTGGCCCTCCGGTGCCCCATTTTCACCCTTCCCCTTCAGTGCATATCTAGTTAGGAACTATTGTGTGCCAAGTGTCAAAGAATCATGCTGGATGCAGGGAATTTTTCTAAGCTTCCCTGAATTGAGCCTTAGTAGTAGTTCCTTTCACCGAGATTCAAGCTCCTTGAGATGTAAATAATAATAATAATAATAATAATAACAACAACAAAACTGTACTGTTCTTTTGGGAAGCTCAATCTCATGACCCATGAAGAGGATGAACTGGAAAAATCTATTTTGAAAGCGGGGATCTAGCCATGCAATTAAGAGTAGAAATACTGGGGTCCAATATATTTCGGTTCAAATCACTTTTTATGGACAAGAGGCTTAATTTCTTAGTTTTTATAAATTTAGGATGATAGTTCTTACTTGGGTTGTATGCAGAATGTCTGGCATAAAGTTAACATGAAATATTTACTCAACCCATATTTACAATGTTCTGTCTACCCGAACAGGTGCATAAACATTGCTGCCCTCATGGAATTTCTATTCTGTGATGAGGACTGCTCCTTGTGCGAGAGCTTTCCTCCATCCCAAGGATTTGTTTTCCCATTTGTAAATTAGGGGTGGTGAGCATGAAGAGCGGGAATGGATGGAAAAGTGAGAAAGCATAAAAAGCACTGTTAATTACTGTGTTAATCAGCATAAGTATATCAATAAGCTTCCTCAACACTCCACCCCTCACCAACGCCCCTTTTCAATTGCCTCTATTCCTTTTCTAAAGACCAAAATGGTGGAGGCTGGACTTCATCTCCCAGCGGGCCTCGCGGGGGGGGGACATTCTGCGCACGCGCTATCAAGTGCCCCTTTGCCTCCTGGGAGTTAGAGTCGTTCTTTCACTCTGCCCGCCTAGTTTGTTTCTTACCCCACCTCCAAGCTGCCGTGCTACCTTCTGGGAGGTGTAGTTCGTGACCGCTCGGACTCCAATTCCCAGCGGGCTTCGGGGCAAGAACCCGGAAGGGGAGGCTGGAGAGGAGGGAGTGGGGGAAACCCGCGTAGCTGAGGGAGCTGCAACGCGGGGAGATGGTGAGAGCCCCAGGCGGGGTCCGGGTGCGCTTAAGAGTCTTAGCGAGGGTTCAGGACCATGGGCGACAAGGAACAGGCTGAGGTTAAAGAACGGGCTGGGCGCGGGGAGATCGCTTGGGGGAGGGGATTTGGGAGGAATTGGAGTCCAAGGGAGTAGAAGAATGGGGGCTAGGGAGGGGTCTTGGAGATGGGGAGGGAGTCGAGTTTGGGGATTGACTATAAAGGTGCTCAGAGCTGGGGAAAGGGGCTCCGAGTTGTAGACGGAGCTGAGTGTACAGGCAGAGACCCCGAGGGGGGCAATTTCGAAGGGAGTTAGCCTGGGGAACGTGGAAAAGCATTGGGGGTCAGGGGTGGATGGATTGAGGGAGTCCAGATGCTCCAAAGGATAGGCCAACCGAGGATGCGATGTTGTGTTCTCTGGATCAGATTAGGGGTAGGAAGGCAAGTTGAGAAGGTGGGAGGCAAAAATCAATGAGAGTTGAGGTTAGGCTCCAAGTGTAGCGGGTGGGGTGGGGAGCTTGAGATTAGGGTCCCGAACGCAGAGATCCTTTGCCTAATCCATCCGGAGACTCCCGATAAACTGGACAGTCGTAGAACTCTAGGATAACATGGCCAGAAGAGACTGTAGAGAAAACGTTTTGCACCCACTCACATCCTCAGTGGGATTTAGAAGAGTGTAGTGGTTTATGTGTATGGACAGTCCAGTATTCAGATCCCTTTTTCTGCTCCTTCTTTGTGACCTGGGCAAGTCTCCTTTCTGTAAGCCTTCCATGCCCTTATCTGTATTATAAGAACAACAAGCATGCCTCTGAGAGAGGGCTAAAGGGAGGCTCCTTAAAATCGTTACTGTTGGTGGGAGAATAAGTCCCAGTCCCAGAGCTGTTGGTGGGAAGTTCCCCATGCTAGGAATGTGACTGGGTTACAGCTGCTAATGGATTCCCTCCTTTTCAGTCCAGACCTGGAGTTTTCTCAAAACCTGGCACTGATGGGGGGCACACCCGAGCTCAGAAACATGCAAGGGTTCCCCGCATTCTATAACACTAAACTGTTTTATGAAATGCCTGGCCCTGGTTTTAGTTGTTTATTTATATTAAGTAATTTTTTTTAATATTTATTTTTTGGTTAGACACAATACCTTTATTTTGTTTATTTATATTTATGTGGTGTTGAGGATTGAGCCCAGGGCCTCACGCATGCTAGGCGAGCGCTCTACCGCTGAGCCACAACCCCAGCCCTGTATTAACTTATTTAATTCTGTTGACACCTCGAAGGTGTAGTTGCTCCATTTTACAGAAAGGAAGCAGAGGCACAGACAAGTTAAGCAACTTTCCCAAGGTCAGCCAGAATTTAAAAATAGACTCAGGATTCCAACCCAGGTAGCCTGTCACAGAATCTGTTCTTTGACCATTATAATCTAGTCCCCTCTCCCCCTTTGAGGTACAATGTGGTGCCTGGAGACAGAGACCCAAACAACCTTGGGTTAAAGATTTAGTTCTGCTATATGTTTGCTGTGTGAACTTGGGCAAGTTTTTTTTTGTCTTTCTTCTTCTGTTAAATGGGGTCAGTAATGCTAGGAAGGTTATAGGGTACAGGTAGGTAATGCCTAAAAAGTGCTTAGAGTAAGCATTCGATATGTGTGTTGTCTTTGGAATGGAAACATACTTGACAGACAGACAGACCTGACAGAGAAGGCAGCAGGGAAGGACCAGTGAGGGAGGCATCAGCCCGGCTGTCTCCCTTTATTTCTCTCTCATGTTGCTCCTATTTCCTGATCTTTCTACTTTCTAACCCCATTCCTAGGCTTCTAAGTCCAAGCATGATTCCCAGAGAGGGTGCTCAGAAACTCAATCTGTCCCCATTCCCATTCCTGTCCCCAGCCAAATATAAATAATTCACTTGCCAATTTGCCAATGCCTACTCTGGCCCAATTCCAGGTGTTTCAGTGAATAAGAAATATTTCTAACAACTGAGATGTTTCTGGTCCTCCCCCACCACCCCCCAACCTTTTGGTCATTGGGACCTCACTGGGCATTTTGGTAACTTTGTAATTCATCTTTAAACAGTTTGGCTTATTTGCTATGAGCCTTCCGGACTTACAAGTTCAGTGACTGATGGTTAAAAGCCCTCATCTCAGAGAGGCCCAGGTTCATATCCCTGCCTCTGTTACTGTGTGTCCTTGGCTAAACTGCATCCCTTCTCTGGGCCTCAGTTTTCTCATATGTAAAATGGGACCACATTCAACCCATGAGGTTCTCATAAGGAGTTAATGTACATAAAATATCTGGTGTGTATTAGGTTCTCAGTAAATGTGAGGTCCTTCTGTATTTTTATTCTTTGAAGAAAAAAATTTTAATCATAAGCTCTGGAACCGGAGTGCTTGGGTCTGGATCCTGGCCCCATCCTCACCAGCTATGTGATCTTAATCCTTTTGAACCTTGGTTTCCTCTTCTGGAAAATGGGAATTTATTCCTTAAGTAGTCCACAAGTGTTATTAGAGCACCTACTACATGCCAGGGCCTGGCCTGGGTGCCCTCTGCCCTCGGGAGCTCCCAGTTGTCGTCCTGCCAGAGCAATTTTGCAGTGCTAGTGGCCTCGTGCTTGTTTGGGGTCTGGGTGTCTCTGTTCCTGGTTAATTTTCAGCCCCGTTCGCCAGCCCTGCCTGCTTGTTACAGCTTTCATGGATTTTGAACATTCTGTCTCCAACAGCCATTGAATTATCTGAAAATCTATAGGTTTGAGAGAAAGTTGCCCAGCTCTCACTTTTCCCTGCTCCTGTGTGTCACATCTCGGTGAACTGGCACTTCTTTCCCTTGCCTTCATTGGTTTATCTTAGGAAATGCATCAGCTTTCCAGGTTATTTTGCCTTTTCTCAAAGTCTTAAATTTGTTGTCCGTGTGTGCTTGTCTGAAGCCTACACATGCAAATGATATTTTTACTTGTTTTCTTTTTTTGTGTATTGGAGATTGAACCCAGGGGCAGTCTACCACCAAGCTATATCCCTAGCCTTTTTATTTATTTATTTATTTTGAGATAGGATCTCACTAAATTGCCTAAGCTGGCCTTGAACTTGCAATCTTCCTGCCTCGGCCTGTCAAGTAGCTGGGATTACAGGCATGTACCACCATGCCCAGCTGTTTTTACCTTTGTGTGTGTGTGTGTGTGTGTGTGTATACACGTACCTACGTATGTACTAGGAATTCAGCCTGGGGCAGTTTACCACTGAGCTGTATCCTCAGCCGTTTTTATTTTTTATTTTGAGACAGGGTCTGGCTAAGTTTCTTAGGTCCTCACTAAGATGCTGAGGCTGGCTTTGAATTTGTGATGCTTCTGTTTCAGCCTCCTAAGCTGCTGGGATTACAGGTGTGTGCCATTGCACCTGCTATTTTTAAAATTTTTTTGGTTTTAAACCAGGGATTGAACCCAGGGGCACTTGACTACTGAACCACATCCCCAGCCCTTTTTATATTCTAATTTTGAGAATTTTGAGAAGTTGTTCAGGACCTCACTAAGTTGCTGAGGTTGGCTTTGAACTCATGATCCTCCTGTTGCAGCCTCTGAGCTGCTGGGATTAGAGGTGTGCACCACCATGCCTAGCTCTATATTTACCATTCTTTTTTTTTAATATTTTTTTAATTGTCAGTGGTCCTTTATTTTATTTATTTTTACGTGGTGCTGAGAATCGAACCCAGTGCCTCACGCATGCTAGGCAAGCACTCTACCACTGAGCCACAACCCCAGCCCCCTATATTTACCATTTTTAATGGCGTGTTTCTAGCTACTGTGGTAAAGCTGTCTTATTCCTAAAAGGGTTTGCTGGTGGCATCTACTTGAGATGCCATCACTGACCCCTCTATTTAGAATCAACGTCCCCCTTCAGCCCCCTCATCTGTCATATTTGTTTTCCATAGCTCTTACCACCTTGAAACTTACTGCATATTTCTTTTTCCTTTCTCCAATTAGTATGCCATCCCCGTGAGGACAGGGATTTCTGTCTCCTGTTCCCTGTGTATCCTCAATGCCTGGAACTGTGCCTGGCACTAAATAGGTGCTTGAAAATACCTGTTCAGTGAGGCCCAGAACCCAACAGTTACACAGAGATGGCCCTTCCTTCCCAGCAGCTCTGGAGGCTGAGGCAGGAGGATCACAAGTTCGAAGCCAGCCTCAGCAACTTAGCAAGGCCCTAAGCAACTCAGTGAGATCCTGCCTCTAAATAAAATATTAAAAAAGACTGGGGATGTGAATCAGTGGTTAAGTGCTACTGGGTTTAATCCGCAGTATCAAAAAGAAGAAAAAAAGAAATGGCCCTTCTTTGTTTTTTTGTAAATGACTCAGGATCAGGTCATCTCAGAATGTGAAACAAAGAGGGAAGGAGTCCTTGGTACCACTCAGTGATCTTTGAGCCTCTCTTTGTCTGTATTACCCCAGATCCTAAACCTTTAGCCTCGGTTTGATGCCAGGTTGGCCTCAGGTGCTCTGACAGGTTGATTTCAATAAATTGTCAGCCAGCCCAGGGGTGGGTGCTGTCACTACCTCTGCCTTACTGTGTTGGCAGTGCTGGGATGGAACCCAGAGCCCTGTGCTTGCTAGGCAAGTGCTCTACCACTGAGCTGCACCCCGCACCCATTATCTCCATTTTATGGAGAAAAAGAGGAAACAGAGGCCCCCGAAGTCACACCCCCCTGAAGTGAGAAGGCTGGGATTCAGCAGGCCTTGCCTGGGTTCTCTCTGCTCCCAGGATCTAGATTCCTGGGGTTTGGACAATTCCTAACCGCAGGGAGCTATTAGTCAGAAAGGGCAACTTTCTGAGGGAAAGAGGCCAGCAGACCCTGAGCAGACCCTGAGGCCAGCAAGTCAGGGGGAAGGTATGGATGGACTGTGGACTAAGGGGCAGTGGAGATGGGAGATGAAAGTAACAGACCTGGGGGCATAGGCCATGGCCGTTTGCCACCAATTCCTGTGACTGGTCAAGTGTGTTCCCTGAGAACTTGCTCCATGCCCTACCCTGTGCGGGGGTTGCCCCTGGGGCTAGGGGCCAGGGCCACCTGATGCTCCCTGGGTGTGTCAGGATCTATCTGCTGTTGATCATTTCTTTCCTTCTTTCTTTGGTTTATTCTCTTGTGTCTTTTTCCTCCAGTGTCTTACATTGGATGGAAGTTAACATTCAGCTTTTCTCCATTCTTTGTGCATTTATGGAGACAGCTGTCCCCAGACCTGCAGCACAGCTGGCCTCCCCTTGACTTATTCACCTGGACGTTCTTTTTGCCTCTCTTCTGGACCAGATCTTCTTTTCTCGATGTGGTATCTCCCTTTTTATTTGTTTACTCCTTCATTTTGATGAAGCAGATGCTCCGGCTGCTTCTTGAGAGAGGGTACATGGGATGCGTATTTTTTTCTGAGAATTCCTGTGTCTTCATTGAAGGGTTTGAAGGGAGTGATGTGGTCCTGTTGTGTTTGGAAAGATCCCTGGGACTGCCATGAAAAGGATGGACCAGAAAAGCTAAACCAGCTGAGTGAGCCAAGCAGGGAGGCTGGAATTGTGCATGTGCAGGGAACACGGAGGTCCCAGCCTTCCTGAAGCTCAGGCTGGAGGGGAGAGGGGCCCTCACCCACTCAGCTCATTGCTATTCAGCAGTGACAGGTGACAGGTGTCGCAAGAGGAAGCCTGAGGCCAGGGAGATCACATGTAGCATGAGAAGGTATGAGGACAGCACTCTGAGGGTGGGGTAGGGGGCAGGGAGGGGTGGGGGGGTGGGGTGGCATTCTGCCTCAGTGCTAGGGCAGGATTTCCACAGAGGGTGCTGGCTGGAGCACCCAGGAATTGTGCCCAGGAGAAGACATGCAGAAGCTGGGCAGCATGACTGTGAGAAATTTATATGTTCACCATTCATTCATTCATTCATTGATGCAAACATTGTATATCACTCACCTATCATGAGCCAAGGCATTGCTTTGCAAACTTTAATGTACACATGAAGGCTCTGGAGGGCTTGCTGAAGTACACATTCAAAGTCCACAGCTCTGGGGCAGGGCCTGAGAGTCTACGTTTCTAACAAACTGCCAGGGGATGATGCGTAGCCACTGCTGCAGGAATCACCCTTAGGAGCAGCCAAGTACTCAGCATGGATCCAAAAGCTGGGGAAGCAGCAGACAGAAAAGCCAGCCCTGGGGGAACTTTCATTTTGGCAAGGGGAGATGGACACTAGGCTTTGTTTTAACGAAGTTTATAGCATATCAAATAATAACATGTGCTAGGAAGGGGAATCAATCAGGGAAGGGGCATGAGGGAGTGTGTCTCTTGGGTGGAGGGTTGTGGATTTGAATCAAAGAAGGTCTCAGAGTGAATTCTGAGCAAATCCCAAAGGAGGTAAAGGGCGAGCCCTGGAGATAATCTGGAGAGAGCATATTAGGCAGGGGGAAGAGTGAGTAGAAAGGCCTTGAGGATTGAACAAGATAATCCACACAGAGGGCTCAGTAAGTTCAGTGAATGAAACTCCCTCCTCATCTTTATTTATCAGGATGGGCTTTGTGTTGTAGTAGAGAACTTGAGCTCTGGAGTCGGCCCAACTCCCCCCATTGATTCAAAGTTCTTCTACAAAACTGTTAACAAGGGCTTTTCCTTAGCCACTGTGCCTCAGTTACCTAGTCTTTGACATGACACTAAAAATAGTAAAGTAATGAGAATCAAATGAGTTTGTAAAGTGCTGAGAGCAAAGCCTAGCACATGGTGTCTGCTCAGGTATTAACTGCTTTTGTGATTAATACATTTATGTTGATTATGATTGCTCTTTTGGATGTCTTCCCCCTTGCCCATGAGCTGTTTCTGGTGAGCTCACTGTCACCTATGTGTCCAAGGCATCCAAGCCAGGGCCAGCACATGAGAGGTCCTCAGTGCATGTCAGACAGGTTTTTGCAAATGCTTTTCATGTACACGAGGGATATAAAAATGTACATGTTCTCATCGTTGGGGGCATTCCATCAGGTTGTAAATTGTGTGGTTCGGTTCCTTATTCTTTTTTTCTTTCTCTCAAGTAATCTCTTCTGTGAATAGGTTTCCCATTGTAATTGTGGATTTGCCAAAGTCTTATTTCTGTGACTGTCATGTGCAGGGATGGTTGTTTTCTGCTTATATATCTGAGGCCCTCATCTTAGGGGCCAAGAAGTTTTGTGTGTACAATGGGTCAATTTGTTTTATCACCATATTTGTCCCTAATGCTATCTTTTGTTTCTGCCATTTTCTTCCTCTCCTTCTTTCTTTCCTTCCTTCCTTCCTTCTCTTGGTTCTGTTTTGCTAGATCAGTCTTTTTCCATCTTTTTATTTTTCATCTTTCTGAGTCATGAGGTCTTATGAGTGGGTCTTCATGGAGTAGTCTCTGATGCTGACCTAGTATAGAGCTTTGTGCTGGGCTCAGTGTGTTGGGAGTTAGAAAATCTGGTTCCAGACCCTACCTCCCCCTCTGCACAATCCAGTGAGGAAGATACAGCCATCCTCAGACAGAAGACTCATAGTGCAGGGCTGGGAGGAGGGAACCAAGTCCTCCCTGGGGCAGATGAGTAGTTTCCAGGAAGGGAAGAGTCTCTCTGTATAAAATTACACTTGAGCCAAGATCTGAACGTAAGGGATTGAGCCATGTGTGACCTAGGGGAGTGCATGTGGTCAGCAGGAATAACAAATACGGACAGGGAAGGGAAGAGCTTCGCAGCTTTGAAAAATAAGTAGCAAGGAGGCTGGTGTGGGTTCCAGCCTGAGTCAGTATGGGGGGACAACACCCTGGAGGAAAGGATGCTGAACTGAGATCCCACAGACTATAAGGGAAGCAGTAGGGCACAGTGACTCTGCAGTCAGATCCCTGGCTTCATATCTGTGCTCCAACTCACACTAGTTCTCTGTGACCTTGGGCTGGTCAGGCATGCTTCCTTGCCTCATTTTCTTCATCCATATAGTGAAGAGAATAGCAACACCTACTGAGGATCACACCTGGCCTTCGTATTCTTGAGAATTTGCTTAGAGGTTCTAGCAGGGAGCACAGTTACTCCATACTCATAGTCCTCCTTTATAGGGGAAAGTCATTTTCTTGACCAGTGTGATAGGTCCACAACAGCAGGGACAGTGTGGAAGGAAGGGGACACCTACCTAGGCAGAGAGATTAGCTAAATCAACCCTGGCAATCAATAGGGTGACAGATGTCACAGCCAGATCTCCCTCACATCCAGAGCCTGGGCATTCTAACTACTCTGTATGTCAGGTCAGGCATCCCAGAGTCCACTGCGGGGAGAGGCGGGGATGCGTGGAGTGCCAGAGTGGAGGAGTGGGCAGGGATGAGGCTGGACAAGTGGGGTACCTGGGCTTTTCCCCACGTGCCAGAAGGGAGCCAATGGCATATTCTAAGCCTGGTGGGGCAGGAGCAAGTTTATAGGTTTGTGCCTTAACAAGACCCGTCTGGTTGTGCTTCCTGCTGTCCTTTGGTTATAGGTGGAACAGGCAAGGCTGGGGGTTGGAGGACAGGGGCCTCCTGAGAGCTGTTTTCGAGTTTTTCTTGAATGGCTTGGATTAGGATCTGGACCAGAACTCATGACAAGCCTTGTGTGCAATTTTAAGTTAACATATAATCGATGCTTAAAAAACATTTTCGTGTTTTTTCCTATTGTTTTCCTGCAGTGAGTGTGAGTCAGGTTTGGAGCACCTGGTTGGAAAGAATGAATGGACAGGTAGGACCATTATGTCCACCCGGCCTGAGCATTGAATGCCAGGCCTGAAGGCTTCAGCTCAGTGTTGTAGGGACTATCACAGGGCTCTTCCTGTTTGTTTTTAAAGGTAAAGTGATTCCCTGCCCATTTTCCCAGGCGGGAAATCTCGACCTCCACTGCTTGCAACAAAAGCCTAGCATTCTATGATTTCTCTGCACTTCCTTTCGTCCCAGAGTTTTCAATTCCCAAGGCCACCTGGCCCTTTAAATCTCTGTTGTCAATCAAGGCTCCGGTTCTGAGGGAACGGCAAGTAATAAGCTTCCCTTTGCGTGCTGGAGTGTGGCTTCCACCCGGGTCTAGTTCCTCCGTTTAGCAGGAAGTTGGGAATTTGCTAACACTCCCTTACATGTGGCTGTTTCCATCCCTCCACCCCCTCGCGTCACCTCTCGCCTACTCCTCCCTGTTTCCAAGTCGGGCCCCTTCGCCAAGGCCTTCCTTATATGGGCACGGCCCCGAACGGCGGCCACTCATTGGCTGAGGGCGTCACGCGCGCGTCTGTCAACAAAGGGGCGGAGGGAAATTAGCTGCGCGCGAGGGCGGGAGAGAAGGCGCGAGGGGGCGGGTCCTTTTAGCTCTCCCGCGCATGCGTGTGGGCGCCACTCCTGCTACCTGCGGGAGGCGCTGCGGGTGAGGGCGCCTTGGGGGCGTGTCTAGATTTGGAGGGTCACCTGAGGGGTGCGGGAGATTTCCTTGAGGGGGAGGCTGCGATATCAGAGGGTTCCCTTTGTGTTTAAGTGATATTTTCGGGTGGGGAAGTTGCGAAGGTGTTGGAACTATTCCGGGGTTTCCTTGAGCTTAAGGCGCTTTGGGGTTTGGGTTCTTTTGTCATGTGGGAGGTTCGGCTGTGTTCTAGGAGTTTCCTGTGTGTGATGGGGTATTTGGGGAGCTCCTGGAGAGACTTAGAAGCAAGGAGCCCAAGAGTACCCATTCCGATTCCTGAGCCAGAATGCCTGGACTTGTCTGTCCTCACGGCTACCTGTCTGACCCTGGGCAAGGGACTTACTTTCTGTGACTCACCTGGAAACAGGAACTGCTAACACTGCCTGCTTCCTAGGGGCCCGGCCCATCAGCAGTTTTAAAACAGTGCCCAGTGAGCGTGCTGTAGCACGTGTCTGCTATAGTAACATTTGTGAGGATTCTTTTGGCTTTGAGAGATATTTATTTGGTTTGGGATTTGCCTTAAATGTTAGGGAAATTTTGGGTTTTAGTGAGTTCTTTTGCCCGGGAGGGGGGTCCTGTGGAATTAAGGGACTTGTGGGAGGGATGTTTGGGGTGAGTATAGGATGTTAGGAAATTGAAACATCTGTGAGGTTAGGAGGTGGCTGTGTACCTTGGAATCGATGAAAAATTCTTTGAGACCGGGCCCTTCTGTGCTGTAGGTGTGTTTTTACATTTGGGGGTTTAAAATGAATTTGAAAGAATCTGGATATTTTGCAAGAGGAGTATAGAGTTTCTGGAGATAAGGATAGGAATTGATTAGGGGATTATGAGGGGAGGTAAAAATGATTAGGATTGAATTTTATTTTTTTTTAGTTATTGATGCCTGTGTTTGGAGGTCATACAGAACTATGGAGTGAATGAGGAATCTGGAATTGCCTGGTTTTAGAGGGACAGTCTATACTGCCAGAGTTGGCAGACCTTTTCCACAAAGGGCCAGATAATGAATATTTCAGGCTTTGCAGTCTTTGCTGCAGCCCTGCAGCTCTGCTATTGTAGCATGAAAGAAGCCATAATATGCATTTTAGTAAAACTTCATTCACAGAGACAGGCAAAGAGCCCTTGGTCCATAGTTTGGAGACCTCTCTGGTCTGGAGGCATATGGAAGGTTTGAAGTTTGGAGGGTTACTTCCATTTTAGGATGTGATGCCAGGGACTTTGAGAGTGAGGCGTCTGCTGCTTACTGGTAAGAAGAAAGTGCAGTGGAGATTAGTCATATCGGATTCATTACCAAAATTACCTCCACATTGGGTCATGTACATAAAGTTGTTGCAAAATAAAGTAGTCTTTATTGAGAGCACTGAGCTGAGGGTTCCAGAAACCAAGTCTGAGAGGATGATTTTGCTCCAGACCTACTGTCCCTTTAGCTGTGTGACCTTTCCCCACTCTGCGCCTCAGTTTATTTGTGTGCGATTTAAAGAGGGGGGCTAGACATAGGTGCTTTTATCCTAGGAGCCTGTGACTGTGTTTCAGGGAAGCACCTGCAGAGCCTTTGCAAGGGTGTGCTCTCTTCTAGGTGAGGATACCCAGCTTTAAGAGATTCTCAAAGAGCCCCATGAACCCCCAAAAGTGAGTTTCTTAAGGGCCTGTCTGGCTCTGACCTCAGATTTTCTTCCCCTCCCAATCCACCTTGTTCTTCCCTCTGTGGGATCAAGCAACTATGGTTGTGGGCAGGGCTGGGAATTCCTATTTTTTCCATAACTGGCTCCTGGGAGAGCAAAGAGAAAAAGGTGGATCTTTTCTGTTGACTGGCACTTTCACTCAAGTTTAAAGGTCATGTCAACTGGAGGCCTCTGGACTATGAGCAAAGATAGTCTGGCGGAGGTGTAGGATTTGTGGGAGTGGAGCAAGCTGCCAGTTAGGGCCACATTCTGTGTGTTCAAAGAGAAGTCATCCCCTCTTCATTCCTGTTTCCTCACCTGACACATGGGGTGGGAATTTAGGTTTTGTTTTGTTTTCCCCAGTGGTGCTGGGGATGGAACTTAAGGCCTCTAGCACCTGATGGTCTAATTTGATCGGTTTGTTCTGGAGAGGTTGAGATCTGGTGCTCCATGGAGGGAAGACTGTTCCCCCAGTTCCCTAACCTGCTGTTCCCTGTCTCCAGGTGGCATGTGGAGCCTCCCACCACCATCCTGGTCTTGAGATCCGGTGACTCCTTGCCTGTTTGTCATCATCCCCCAGAATGGACCGTGGCGGCCTTCTGCCCTTCCAGCTCTGGTGTCCCCGGCCCTTTGGTACCTACTCCCAGAACCAGCCGCGCCCACCTTCCACATCCCTCAAGTCATCAGCCTGCTCCGAGCCAGGCAGTGGGGCTGAGCCTGACCATGGGCCTGCGCACTCGGAGAATACCCCGCCTGCCTTGGCCGCAGAGGCCCCTGCTGCTCAGCCTGCTCCGCTCCTCTCAGCGGCAGGTGCTGGTGATGAGGGCCGAGTCCTGCTGGACACGTGGTATGTTATCAAGCCTGGGAATACAAAGGAGAAGGTGGCCTTCTTCGTGGCCCACCAGTGTGGTGGAGGCAGCCGGGCCAGCTCCATGAAGGTCAAGGGGCACTGGGGCAGTGACAGCTCCAAGGCCAAGCGGAGGCGGCGCTGTCTGGAATCCACCAAAGCTCCTCCGGACCCAGGGGGCCGGGAGGGACCCCCTGCTGCCGAGGGGGGCCCCACTTCAGCAGGGGAGGATGTGGACTTGCTCTCTGTAGCAGAGATGGTGGCCCTGGTAGAACAGAGGGCCGCCCTGGCCCTGCAGAGCTATCCTCGCCCCACCACCCCAGCGCCTGTGGTCTTTGTGTCAGCTGAGCAAGGTGGACCACCTAAGGGGTTGGGGTCTGAACGGAGGTCTGGCGGTGGTGACTGCAGTCGTGTGGCTGAAGCAGTAGCCCATTTTGAGGCTCAGCGGGACAACCCTCCGACCAAGGGCCTCCGCAAGGAGGAGCGGCCAGGGCCAGGTCCTGGTGAGGTACGCATTGCCTTCCGCATCTCCAATGGCAGGGAGCCCCGCACATCAGACGGCAGCCTACCCAATGGAGGCGGGGGCCGGTCTGGTTGTGCTTTCCCTGGCAGCCCAGGTCCTGGGGCTCGAACCAAGGACAAGATCACCTGTGACTTATACCAGCTCATCAGCCCTTCCAGGGATGCCCTGCCCAGCAACGTGGAGTTCCTGCTGGCTAGGGCAGATGAAGCCAGCGAGGCTGAGACCCCAACCCCTGCCAGGCCTGAGGACACGCCCCCCGCCCCACCCCCACCCCCTGCCCGGGACTGTGGAGCGTCAGGCTTTCACGTGGATGTGGTGGTGACAGGTGTGGTGGACGAGTGCATCTTCTTTGGTAAGGATGGCACCAAGAATGTAAAAGAAGAGACAGTGTGCCTGACTGTCAGTCCCGAGGAGCCACCCCCACCCGGCCAGCTCTTCTTCCTCCAGTCTCGGGGGCCAGATGGGCCCCCTGAGTCACCCCCAGCTGATGCGCCAACCACGCTGCCAGGCCCAGATGATGCTGAGGGGACAGCAGACACCTCCCTATGCCGCCTTTATCGTCACGTGTCACACGACTTCCTAGAGATCCGCTTCAAGATCCAGAGGCTACTGGAGCCACGACAGTACATGCTGCTGCTGCCCGAGCACGTGCTGGTCAAGATCTTCAGCTTCCTGCCCACAAGGGCCCTGGCAGCCCTCAAGTGCACCTGCCACCACTTCAAGGGCATCATCGAGGCATTCGGCGTCCGGGCCACAGACTCACGCTGGAGCCGAGACCCGCTGTACCGCGATGACCCTTGCAAGCAGTGCCGCAAGAGATACGAGAAGGGTGACGTGTCACTCTGTCGATGGCACCCCAAGCCCTACCACCACGACCTGCCTTACGGACGTTCCTACTGGATGTGTTGTCGCCGAGCTGATCGTGAGACACCAGGCTGTCGCCTGGGCCTGCACGATAACAACTGGGTGCTGCCCTGCAATGGGCTGGGTGGGGGCCGCACTGGCAGGGAGGAGGGGAGGTGAAGCCGGGGGAGGGGGAGGGAGCTCATCATGCCTACCCCTCCCCCATCCCCTGGGAGCCAGGGACCAGGACTGGGCCACCAGCCCACACCCCAGTCCAGGAAGTGTTGATCACCCACCAGAACTGAGACCAGGGTCAGGGTGACCCACAAGAACACTCTGGTTGACCCCTGTTGGTTTTGTACTCCTCAGACCCAGGTCCGTGGACCCTCAAGTAGGGTGTTTTTTTATCAGCATCTCAGTTTCTTCTCCATTCAGCCCCAACACCCTCCCTGCCACTCTCTACACCCCAGGGACTCACCAGCAGGGAGCTGACGGCAGCTAATTTTGGTACCACCTAAGGCTTCCCCATGCTGGCCCTCTTCTGCGCCTTCTCTCAGTTCTTCATCTCTGGAGCTGTTTTCTCCAAGAGGCTACAGCATCCAAGGTTATACCTTTCTAAACTTACCAACTAGGGCTCACCTTCTTTTTTGGAATTGGGGGCCATCAGATCGCAAGGTAGATCTGGCAATTTATCATAGCAGCCTGCCATTTCTATGTTTTCCTTATGAAAGAAATAAAAATCAATGTTTTCTCCTTAATCTCAAGCTACCAGTCTGTTCCCTTCCCCTACAGGGGAAGAGAAAAAAAAAAAAAAACAACCCTGAATTATAGAAACTTTCCTTCTTCCCATTATTTAAGCTATTGCCTTCACTCCTCCCCCAGTAAAGCTGTGAAGCCCTTTGCCTCGCTCTTGACAGCGTGGGGGGCCAGAGGGCAAAGGACTGTGGGTTTGAATTTCTAGATGGTTTTTCCTTCAACTGTGGGTACTTGTTAAGGCATTGGGGTCTCTTTATCCCCAGCCACGTTTCTTTAGAATCTTTTGGTCATTTGGGACCTTGATTTTCAGGCAGTTTGGTCTGGGGTGTTTTTTTTATTTGTTCTTTTTGGGGGTTTTTGTTTTTTCATAATTGTGGTTCTGGAAGCTTCTAGTGTGTGGCATCTGACCAATTTTGAATTGGTCCTTTCTATAAAATCAATATTTATAAGGCTGGGCCCAGACTGGTCTGTGTGTTATTAAGGGAGGGGAATTGGGAAGAGAAGAGCGTCTCAGGCCTGTGCACAGGAGGATGGAAAAAAATAGAGATGGGTCCCTTAGCCAAGTCCTGAGCCTGAGATTATTTTCAGCTCATCTCATCTGTGTCAGTGTGAATTTGAAAATCTCAAAATAGTAGTTGCTTGAACAAAACCATTTTTCTTTCTTTAAAAATCCATGTTGAGCAAAAATGGTGGTCCTCGAGTCATCAGGAAGCCAGGCCCCTTAGCTCGGTATTCCATCATTCCTTGTCTCTGCACTTAGCCTTGTGGCCTAAGGGACTGCTAGCAGAACTCCTGCCTGACTGTGTTGCAGTGGGGGTACCCCTTCCTCTCATGAGTCCTGCACTGCACCTCTGCATCTCAGTGCTCAGCATGTGGCCACATGGAAGGGCTGCGAAGGAGACTGGGAGTGCAGTCTTGTAGCTGGGTGCAGTATGCCCAACCAAAAACCTGTTTATCTAAGATCCCAGTAATTAAAGTTTTAAAGTAGTCAGTTTTTTACTAAATAAAAGTAGAATTAAGACATCTTTTTTTTTTAATTTATGTTAGTTGTTGATAGACCTTTATTTTATTTACTTATATGTGGTGCTGAGAATCGAACCCAGTGCCTCACACATGCCAGGCAAGTGTGCTGCTGCTCAGCCCCAGCCCCAGCCCAAGACATCTTTTTAATTAAGTATAAAAGAGAAAAATGAATACTGAGCAGGAAGTAGCAGTTGCTGACGTTCTTATCAGGGAATCAATATCCAGAGAGACTAGGGAATATCATAGTAGTAACTCAATGCTTAGATTTTAGAACCAAAGAGACCTGAGTTTGAATCTTAGGTTTGATTTTGTGGGGCTTCGGTTTCTCCTCAAGTGTGAGTTTGGCTCGTTCTGCTGAAAACAACTGAAATAACAAATTTCCTAAAGAGCTCAGATGGTCAGTAAAATACCGTATGTGGGCCCTGAAGCCACTTTGGCCCTTAGGGCATTTGCTGAAGTGGATAAACTTGGGTTTCCTATGTGACATCCTTACTGGGACAAACAGGCTGAAGTCCTGCCCAGTGTAATAAGAGCCAAAGGAGTGGGGATCCCACACTCAGGTTAGCATGATCCAGAAGACCCTGGAGATGTTTGGAAAGCAGGGGGAGCACAAGACCAAAGGAAAGGAAAATCTGACCCTGAGAATTAGGGTCATAGACTGCACAGGTTTGCAGCCAGGTTCACATCACCTGTATGATCCAGGGTACATTTGCTGAGAGGTTGGGCAGAAACAGTGGAAGGAACTGTCATCTAGAATTCCACAAATAATCCTTTCAGACAATGAATAGTAAACAACCACACATGGAAATAAAGCAATAAAAGCAGGAACCAGCAGAAACAACCCTCTGGACAGGTCCACAGAGTTTTCAGATGGAACTCAGTCACATATTAAGTAAAATATCAAAATTTTTTTGTTAAAAAAATTTAAGAGCTTGGAAATATCAGCAGGGAACCTCAAACTAAAACTCTCCTAGCAGATTGGGGAAGGGGGCAGGTAGCCCACAGACAGAACTTGTAGAAATGAAAACTATAGTAACCATATATATTGAATTAAACCTAATGAGAGAAATGCAACACAGAAACAAACACAAAACAAACCTGAGAAAATAGGAAAGAAAGGTTGTGGAGGACAGTGAGAAGGTCTAACACACATTCCAGAATCAGAAGAGAGATGGTGCAAAGATAATATTTAAAGATGTGATGGTTGAGAATTGCATACTAATGAGACACCAATAAACCCAGTGAATCATAAGCAGGGAAAATTTTTAAAAATGCAGTGATGGCACCCAGCTGTGTGATCTTGGGCAGTTGGTTCCTCTGAAGCTGTTTCTTAATCTGGAAAATAAGAATACGGGTTGAGCGCTCCTTATCCAGAATTCATGGCATCACACGTGTTTTTTAAGATTTAGGATTTGGGAGTGGGGAGTGCTTGGTATTTTTATATATACATATCTCAAGTTAAAAACAAAATTCGGGGCTGGGGATGTAGTTTGGTGGTGGAACACTTGCGTAGCATGTAGGAGACCCTGGTTCCATCCTTTGCGCCTCAAACAAACAAAAAGCCCACAAAACTTATTTGCTTTATTTATACCTTACACACAGAATCTGAAGGTGATTTTATACATTTTTAGTTCACCAGCATTTTAACTGCAACCTGTCACTTGATGTCAGGGGTGGAATTTTCCACATGTGGTGTTAGTAATCAAAAAGTTTTGAACTTCAGAGCATTTCAGATTTTTGGATTAGGGATGCTCAGCCTGTCCCAACAATTCCTCAGGAAACTGGTAAGTGCTCAAAACTTGTACACCTATGGTTCCTTCATAGAGTGAAGCTGAGGGAGCCCAAGTGTGAGTGTGCGTGGGAGCTGCAGGGCTTACTGGCCTGGAAATCTGGGGAAACACAAGCTTGCCAAGCATCAGCAGCCTGATCTGTAAAATGGGTCTCATAGTCCTTACCCTGGATTCAAGCCAAAAATGTTCATAGAGCCATTTAAAAGCCACATGCTACTTTTTTCCAGCAAACTAGTCATCTAGCACATCCAGCACAGGTGACATGGAGAAGGGAGGACACAGGAGTTTCAAGGATACAGGGGTCCTTGGAATCACAGCTGCATGTGAAACAGGTCTCTCCAAACAACTGGTTCACAATTCTCTGAGGCACCTCACCTGCAAAATGAGGACTGAAATTGTACCTACTTCAGGGTTTGGGGGCAGACTAAATGAGCTGATGTAAGTAAATTGCTTGTGCCCAGCACATAGTAGGTACCCAATATATGTCAGTGACTAGAAGAATCTAAGTTGAGGACCTTCTGGTTTCCTCCCTAATTTGTTTTTTTTTTTTTTTTTTTTTTAAAACATATTTATTTATTTAGTTAGTTATTGGCAGACACAACATCTTTGTTGGTATGTGGTGCTGAGGATCGAACCCAGGCCACACGCATGCCAGACGAGCGTGCTACCGCTTGAGCCACATCCCCAGCCCCTTCCTCCCTAATTTGATATCTTGAGTTTCAGCCCTGGTGTTCCCTGGAGTCTTCTGCATCACTGAGTTGACTTGGAAGGCCCAAGTTCACCTTCCTCATTTAATAACCTTCCATCTTTTTTTTTTTTTTTTGGTACCAGGGATTGAGCCCAGGGGCACTTGACCAAAGATCTACATTCCCAGCCTTTTTTATTTTTTAGTTTGAGACAGGGCCTTGCTAAGTTGCTGAGGCTGCCTTTGAACGTTTGATCAGCCTCCTGAGCCGCTGGGATTATAGGTGTCTGGCATAACCTTCCATCTTGTCTTCTGGGGATGGAGCCCAGGGCCTTACACGCTAGACAAGTGCTCTGCCAGCGAGCTGCACCCCCATGTGGCTCCCTGCATCTAGGGCTTTTTTTTTTTTAATATTTATTTTTTAGTTGTAGTTGGACACATATCTTTATTTTATTTTATTTATTTTTATGTGATGCTAAAGATCAAACCCAGGGCTTCGCACATGCTAGGCAAGCGCTCTACCACTGAGCCACAATTCCAGCCCTTGCATCTAGAGTTTTCTTTTGAGTAGGTTTCCTAAGTTGCTATGCATGCACCAAGCAGCATCCTTAAAGACAGGGTGCCCCAAACTCTGCTGAGAGACTCCCTTAGGTTGTTAGAATCCCACCCCCTCCCTTGAGTCTGGCTCAGTAGGTCTGGGGTGGGGCTTGCAAGTCTGCCTTTTTAACAAGTTGCATAGCTGAACATGAAGATTAGGTGGGGCTGGAGATTCTTCCTCACTGTCCTCAGTAATACCCACCATCCTACATGCTCGTGGGTGACAATGGGTTGGTATAACTAGTGGAGCAATTCTAGGTGTGTCTGATCCATTCCTGCCGTAAGTCCTCTCAAACATTCCAATCCCTGCGTTTCCCAAAATATCTTATGAAGTACCTAGTTCTGTGCGGTGCTTCCTAATTATGGGGCTCCAAGATGAGATACTTTGGGAACCACTGCATTCTCTGTCCTACTGTGGAGAATTCAAGTTGTGCAGTGAGGAAACGCATACAATGTCCACCCCACTAGCTTGATCTCTGATCCATTTAAAACTCTGGTTTGTTGCCCATTGGGTCAGGCAGATCTGGAGCGCTGAGGTCTTGGCTTCCATCTCTGTTCTGTCTGAGCCCAGCCTCTGTGGGCCTCCCTGGGGAGATAGAGCAGGAGCAAGACTGCCATTCCGGGGGCTGGGGATGTGGCTCAAGCGGTAGCGTGCTCGCCTGGCATGCGTGCGGCCCGGGTTCGATCCTCAGCACCGCATACAAACAAAGATGTTGTGTCCGCCGAAAACTAAAATAAATAAATAAATATTAAAAAAAAAAAAAAAAAAAAGACTGCCATTCCGGAGAATGGAATGACACACAAACGCAAGCCACAGAGACTTCGTTTGGTTGGGTGCTGCTGTTCCAGATGCCAGTCCATGGTTTGCTGACTAAAGAAAAGCGTTTGGTCCCTGCAGACCTTCCAGACCAAGTGTTTGCCTCAGGGCAGGGCCCAAGCTCTTGTTCCTTTGACTCTCGAGAACCCCCACAGTGGTCCCTTCCATGTCCTAGAAGCGTGGGTAGCTTTAGACAAAGGAAAATGGACTTTCCAATTGTAGCACAGATAGGAGCCAAAGGTGTCAGAAAGGACAAACTAGCATGCTGGAGGTTGACCCAGCTGAGCTCCGCTGGCACTGGGTGCCTTGGCATATGCCCTGGTGGGCACTTCTTCCTTAGAGTAAGGTCCTCCTCAAGCACTGACCCAGCAGGCTAGAGCCCCAGGTACTCGGCCAGGAACACAGCGAGGATGCGGCTCAGGTTGTAGACCGTGGGTGGGTGGAGATTGGCCTCGGAGTCAGAAGGTGTGTGCCAGACGGTGGGGAAGGGCGTGGAGATGAGATGGAGCACAGGGACCCCTGAAGGTGAAAGAGGAGACTTGGTCAGGCCTGTTTTGGCCCACAGCTGATCCAGAGACCAGGCCCAGGCTCTGAATAAAGTTTAAATGTGTGAGGATACATGCTAGTTTTTTTTTAAATCTGTATACCTTTTGTTTTCATTACAAATTAGAGAAACAATGGATTATGGAGAAAATAGAAGATGAGAAAGATGTCCTTGATTCTCCTTACCAGATATACGTTTTCTCTTTAATAATAACATTTATATTGTACTTGCTGGATTCCAGGCCCTAGCCTAATATCTATCTATCTCTCTCTCTCTCTCTCTCTCTCACACACACACACATTTTACCCTTACAGTAAATCCTTTAAGGTAGATAGTTACTGTCACTACCTTCATATTATTTTTAATTTTTTTGAGACCGAAACTTGCTATATAGCCTCAGGCTGATCTCAAATTCACAGGCTCCCAAGTAGCTGGGACTATAAAGTGTACATCACCATGCCCAGCTTTTAACTTCATTTTTATTAATGTGGAGACTGAGGCAGAAGGAATCAGGGAAATGACTGATTGCCTAAGTTCCCATATCTAGTAAACAGCCAGAATTTGAACCACTCCACCAGGATTGGGTCTGTGCTGCTAACACCTGTACTTATATTGGTTCCTGTCCTCAGAGTGCTTGGCCATGTTTGCTCAGATGGAGCAGGTGGATTCTGCCCATCACTCCATCCCTTACATCTAGTTCAGCACCTACCTAGGGAAGCCCTCAGCATTCACTGAATAAACCAATAAAGAAGCCATTGTTATAAAGGGTGTAGCTCTGTCTGCGGAGGAGCACTTGCCTGGCATGTGCAAGGCCCTGGGTTCATCCCCAGCACCACAAAAAAATAAATACAATAAAACAAAGAAGGCATGGTAAGGATGCCTATTTGTTGACTAAGTAAATTATAGAGTAAAAATGTTAAAACCAGTTTTTAGCATTTACTATACGCCAAGCACTGTGTAAGTAGGCATTTATATACCTGGTCTCATCTAATCATGAGCTCTTGTGAATATTTGTGTGTGTCTGTCAGTCTGTCTGTCTCTTCGTTTTTCAGAAGAAGTTGACTTAGGCTAAGTAATTATCTTTAGTTCAACCAGTGGTAAGTTGCAGATCCTAGAACCTAGATCTGACTATTCTAATATCTATGTTCTTAACTCCTATACCAGATGTGTACAACCCTGACTGGGCATTAAATTATGTGGGAGCTTTGTAAAGATCATGTAGAGCCCAAGATTGTGAGTACATTTTTCCCCCCGTGGTACTGAAGCACTCTACCAACTGAGCTATATCCCCAGCCCTCAAGAGCACAAGATTGTGAATCAGTAGGGCTGAAATGTGATTGGGCAGTTTTTTAACTCCTTTGGCGATTCTGCTGGGCCACCAAGGACTTGAAAGACTTTAAAAGGAAGAATAAATTTTGCAATCACTGTGGCACAAATAATTAACATTTCTTATGTGGTGTGCGCTGGTCCAGATAAGGCCTTTACATTAGCACAATGCTCTCAACAACTTCTGAGCTATCCTCATTTTACAGATGAGGAAACTGAGGCACCAAGAAGTTAAGCAATATGCCACCAGCCCCCACCTGAGAAGGGGCCATTGCCAGGGCTGAGTTGTGGCTTCCTTGAACCCCCATCCCCATTATTCCCTGCTTAGGGCAAGTACCTCTGTGGAGGAAGGGGAGGTGGTCATCTTCCACAGAGCCAGGAGGCTCCCCGGGCTGGAAGTACATCACCTCCTGGGGATGAGACTGTAGCAGGTTCAGACGGTGCAGACGCTTTTCTGGAAGTGGTGGGGATTAAAGGCAGGGGTTAGTCCTTGCCAGTCAGAGAAACCCCAGTTCACAAATTTGAGAGGATCAGTTTCCCAGAGACAGAACACTAGTCGTCCCAACATGAATGAATGTTTTTCCTTACTGTGGGCTCCCCATGCTCCTCATCTCACCTAACCCTGAGTCTAGGAGTAGACGCCCCTCTTATTGTCATGATCATGCCCTTTTCACAGACAGGAAATTGAAGCTCAGAGAGGTGAAGCTCATGCCCAAGTTCACAGACTCAGACTATGAGACCAGCTGTCTCTCCCTGGAGCCCGTTTTTCCCCTCTACACTTGACCTCTGTGGGATCAGCTTGTTTCATCCCTGGTCCTCAGAGACCAGGGAGGTGGAAGGAGCCCTGGGTGAGCCCTTAGACAACAGGTGCCTGGCCCACCAGCTCAGCTCTCCGTCCTGCATCCCAGCTGCACCTGCCTCTGCCGTGTTCACTCTTACCAATGCTCCTCAGCCGGTGGAACCAGCGGAGAGTGCGGGGGAAGTGACTGTAGAAGGTTGGGTTGGGTGCTCCCAGAAGATCAAGAAGCACAAAGAGCTCCTAGGGAGAGAGTCCAGGGTGGGATGGGGCCAAGCAGGATCCTGCCAGCCCCACTCCACCTTCTCCCTCCCTTTGCTAGAACCCAATGGGCCCTGGTCTTACAATAGCCTGGATCCTCGTGGGGCCAGGACTGTGGGGTATGGACTCCATGAGCTGGGCTAGGTGCCGGGAGCCATAAAGAGAGTCCTTGGGTCCCCACTCCTTCAGCGCCTCTTCACCATCCAAGAAGAGCAGCTGTAGTGTCACCGGGGCTGCCTGTGGGAGCAAGTACCCAACGCCAGCTCACTGCCAACTCTCAGCATCAGTCCACCCACATGCCCTTCCACCTGCACAGTTGGGTAGGACCAAGCCAGAGTGCCTGGGTTCAAATTCACACCCTGCTGCTCATGGCTGAGCAAATATGGGTAATTAATAACTTCCTGAGGCCTTAGCTTCCTCATCTGTAAATGGGGTTAATTATAGTTGTATTCATAAGGTAGGATTCGGACAGAACAGTGCCTGGCATATGATAACTAAACACAGGTTAGCTCTGGTTGTTATTCATCAGAATCAGTTTAGTGGGAGAGACCCACAGATGAATTTATAAACAGTGAAATGCAGTCAAGACAGATGCTTCCAGGAACTGGTGTTCTGAAAGAGCACAGCAGAGGGATGTGCTGGCCTAGCTGGGGGATGACCTGGCCTAGAGAAGGCCTGGGGTCTGCTGGGAAGGATGTTCACACTGAGGTGAGGGGTTAGGAGCTGGCTGCCAGGTGTGGAGCAGAGGGAAGAGTATTTCCAGGCTAGGGAACAACATGGACTAAGCCTGGGGCCATGGAATGGGTCAGAGCAGTTTGAGAGGAGACCAGAGGGGTGAGCAAGGTCCAAGAGAGTTTGGGCTTTGTTATAAGGTCATTCGGGAGCTGGAAAGGGGTTTGAGCAGGGGACAAGCATGTTTTCATTTACTTATTCATTCATTCAATCATTCATTCATTCCACAAACTTCTATTGATGCCCTAGTTTATGTCAGGCAATATTCTGATCCAAGAGATACAGCAAGAAACAAAAGTAGCCAAGTCCCTGCCTTCCTAGAGTTTATTCTAGTTGGGAGATAGGCAATCAAAACAGAAAACACCACAAAGGGCAGGGGGAGGGAAGAATCAAAGTTCATTGGATTAGACAAAAAGGAATGAACGGAAGGGAGGAGGGATGGAAATAGGAAAGACAGTAGAATGAATTGGACATAACTTTCCTATGTTCATATATGATTTATATGACCAGTATAACTCCACATCATGTTCAACCACAAAAATAGGATCCTAATTAGAATAAGTTATACTCCATGCATATGTCAAAATACATTCTACTGTTTTGTGTATCTATAAAGAATAAATTTAAAAATAGTTAACAAAATACTATAAAGCATGAGATGATGACAGAGAGTTACTTTAGGGTGGTTGGGAAAGCCTCTTAGAAGAAATGTGATTGGAGTGGATACCTGAATGGAAGGGAGGAAGGAGATGCCATTGGAGTGGATACCTGAATGGAAGGGAGGAAGGAGGAAAGGGTGATCTGAAAAAAGCACATTCTATACAGAACAAACAGCAAGTGCAAATGTCCGGAGGTAGGAGAGGACCCTGTGGGTGTGAGGGACCTGAAGGAGGTAGGTGTGGCTAGAGCAAAGTGAGGGGTGCAGGGTATGAGATGAGACTAGAGGGCTGACAGGCACACTCAGCCAGTAAGAATTCTGGTTTATGCTTGGAATAAACCAGAGTTTTAAACCAGAAACCTTATTGGAGCCATGGGAAAGTTTGGGCAGAAGTGGGACAGGATCTGACATTCAAGGCACGTGGCTCAGTGCATGGAGTGTAGGTTGGGCAAATGACCAAGGCAAGAGTTGGTGGGGGTTTGGACCAAGGTAGGAGAGGCCCGCCCACCCCTCCTCCCACTCCTCCTTCCACCCCTGTTCCTCACCTGCTCCTTGGCCCTGCTCAATAACAGATCAAGGGCCTGGGCCAGCTCCAGTAGCAGGGCACAGGGCACAGCCGAATCCGTGGCCCCTACAAAGGGGCCTGACCCAGGAGGGAAGAGCTTCGAGTCATAATGGCAGGCAAGGGTGAGGTGATGGGCAGCCCTTGGGTCCAGCGTGGCCACTATGTTGCCAAAGTCCAGTGGCCCCAGGGGCGTCAACGCTGTAAAGGGATCCAGTTCTACATGCCAGCCTGCTGTCAGGGTCCGCAGCGTGGCCTCCAGGAACTAGTAGCAAGAAAGAGATGGGAGGGTGGACAGGGACTGGGGAGGAGGTGGGGAGAAGAGCCATGTGACCTGAGCCCTGCAGAATGGTCAGGCTGACTCAGAAGTCCTATTTTGGTTTAAATCATTCCTTTGCCACACTTCTACTGAGTACCAACTGAGTGCCACATATTGGGGTGACCCTACCTCTCTCTCAATGTCAACAAGACTAATCACAGCTTTTTTTTTTTTTTTTGGTACCAGAGATTGGACCTGGGGCATTCAACCACTGAGCCATATCGCAAGCCCTTATATATATATTTTTAGAGACAGGGTCTTACTGAGTTGCTTAGGGCCATGCTAAATCACTGAGGATGGCTTTGAACTCCCAATCCTCCTGCCTCAACCTCTCAAACTGCTGGGATTACAGGCATACACTGCCACAACTGGCACAGCTTACTCTTAAACATCACTATGTGCAAGCCCTGTTCTAGGAACTCTGTGGGTAACAACCATCAACAAATGGCCCCATGAGGGGAACAAAGTCCCAGAGAGGTTTAGAAACTAATACTGGGTGAGGTGGATTGGAAACATGGTATCTGGAAGGCAATATAGAGATGTTAAACCACCAGTTCTGAAGTCTACCCACTTCAAACCCCAGGTCTACCATTTATTAGCTGTGGGATTCTGGGCCTCAGTTTCCTCATCTGCATAATGATTATCATACTGGTTCTCACCTCATAGGGCTATTTTCTGGGTGTGCCTAGCACACAGTAAACCTTCAGCGGGGACAGTGCAAACTGGTAGTGTGTGCATGCTTGGGACTCCAGACTCAGATTAACTCCAGGGGATCTTGGACAGGCTGCCTATTTCCCAATTACTGGGAGGCTAGAGATTCAGGGATTAGAGATAGGACCCTTTACCTTTCTGACTTGGAGATTGCCTGGGCTGCCAGGGGTTCGCACAATCAACAGAGGACGCAGGTAAGTACTCCAGAGACGCTGTGGGTCAAGTTGCCCCACCACCCGTCGCAGCCTGTCTTCTGGGAGGCTTCCAATCGGCGGGGCCTTGAAGGGAGATGGGATACGGAAGAGAAGAATGAAAGCAACCCCCATTTCGATCCTATCCCGGGCACCATTGCCCCCAAGGAGCCCCTGTTTCTTTTGGCAGTGCTTCCAGGATCGGAGAGTTCTAGGATAAATCCTAGGCTCGGGAAAAGTCCCTCCAAATCCATCGGGTCCAGCCTACCGCAATCCTGACAGGGAAATGGAACTCCGGGGAGAGGAAGAGAGACTTCCAAATAATTAACTTGAGGCATAAAGCCCAGATCTCCCAACCTTACTACTTCAGACGCTACCTCTTAAAGGAGAGCTACTATTACAGGACAAGATAGAAGATTTATTCCGTTGGTAAAGGCATGCTCTCAAATGACGGACAAGGTGGCACCTGCGGCTAGGGTCATACAATACAGCCACGTCAACCGAAACTGGGGAAAGGGAAGTGGGGAACACGTACTCCTGCGGTGCCCTTCCCCTGCCCGTCCTCACCCGCAGCTGCCGGCCCCGCGACAGCTCCTCAGTCCCGTGGTGCCAGCTGCTCCAGACGATGTAGAACGCGGAGCCCACGGCCAGCGTCAGCAGCAGCACGGGCAACAGCTGCACCCGCGGTAGCAGGCGGCGCTTGGGCAATGAGGGTGGCTCCGTGAGGCCACGTTCCCCGAGCCGTAACCGGGGTCGACCGCGGCCCCCGGAAGGCATGGCAGCTTTGCCCTGAAACCGGTCGGGGACCGCGGATTGAGTTTAGGCCCAGCCAAGTTCCGCCCCATGGAATCACAAACCCAATGAGCAACAAGAGCGGCTAGACCATCCCACCCGAGCGGGCAGTGAAACCAATGGAAATTCGTGTGCTGAAGACACGCCTCCCTGACTCCCTGGGGGATTGGGGTTGGTTCCCCTGAGGGTTGCACAGCCCTAAAGGGAGCACGAAAGGAATAGGGACCGCCTCCGCGGAGGAGGAAAAGCCAATGAGCAGCGTTTGATCATGGAAAACACCGGGCCACACAGGTCCACGCCCCTCCCGGATGTAGGCTTGGGATTGGTTGCGCAGGGTCGGAAAGATCAATAGATATGTCGAGGAACGGTCCCTGAAGAAGAAGGAGCTGTGACTATCCCTGAAGCGAGGAGAGGATTGGCTTCGCGGGGCCGCGCCCCCGAAGACAAGGCCGGCGGGCATTTGGAAATGGCGTGTCGTTTCCCTCCTTCGATCTATACTATTCTACAACGAAATTATTTGAGTCCGGACCCCGTTTCTCCTCTCCATTGTCGTAAGCATCTGTCCCGTATGGTCCTGAGTGGCCTCGAGCCACTACTGGAGGCTTTTACCCGATCCCTGCGCAGCGGGCGGGGATCGCTATGGCAACAGACCACGCCCCCTGCCCAATGGTTGGTTTGCGCAGGCGCCCACGGAAGTGGGCCACAGGAAGCGGAAGTCCCGCCTCTCCTCTCTCCTTTCCAGAGGCCGAAGCAACGCGGAGGAGACGGTAGCGACTTGAGGACGCAGCTGCCACCATGTGAGGCTGGGCTGGGATTAGGCTGCTGGTGCCAGGTTGAGGGTGTAAATTTGGCCGATTTACGGTGGAAGGGGTTGAGCAGAGCCTGGGCGAAGGGAGAGGTCTTAGCGGATGAACTGGCGTACTTTTCTCCTGAAGAGTTTGAGAACCGGCGTGGGGTCTTTGGCGGATCTTGCGTTCGGGAAAAGGGACTGCTTTATTACATAACGGACTAGAGCTTTCCTAGTTAGTCTTGTTCAAGTGAATTTTAAGGGGAAGCTATGTAGATTAAAGAACCTCGGGGAGGGAAATGCGGACTATTAGGAGTAACGATTCGCGACAAGGGACATAGCCACATCATTTAAGCTGCAGATGGGTGGCTTTTACAGTAACAACTCACTGAAGTGATTTTGCTTATTTATTCAGCAGATATTACCTTGAATGCTCATGTGTCGGGCACTGTTTTGGGATACATAAGTGAATAAAAGGTCCTCACCCCCAAGAAAAAGTTCCCACAAAGGTTTATTAGGAGACGGGAGTAGGCAGGCCAGAATTAGAGTAATAAACGAGTTTAGGGTATGTTAGGTGATCAGAGCTGCGAATAAAGAAATAATCAAGTAGGGTAAAGACAATGAGGAATGCCAGTACCTTAATAATTATCACAGAAGGAACATTTGAGCAAAGACCTGAAGAAAATGAGATAGTGAATTACATAGTTATTGGGGGGTTCCAGGCAGAGGGAAAAACAAATGTACAGACCTTGAAGTGAAAGTTTGCCTCCTGTATTCGAAGACCACCCAGGAGGCCAGTGTGGCAGAAATAGAGTGAGGGGGGGCAGATGTAGGGTATTGGAAAAAGTAGGTTTTCCTTTTATCACAAGATGGGACATGGAGGTTTAGGCCTTGGAAAGAAATGGTCAGATTGTGGATGTAGATTTGATGTAGGAGGTGATGAATTAAGTAGACATCAGAGTTCTTGCCCCGAGAACTGGAAAGATGGAGTTACCAACAGAGATGGGGAGTACTGAGGATAGACTAGGAGTAGGTTGAGGAAGTCGGACGGTCGGGAACTAAGCCTGGGACAGGCGAAGTTAGAACGTCTGTCGGGCATCCAGGTGGTGATGCCAAAACAGATGAGAATGGGTGTTGTAGGGCAAGGCATTGATCACTCATGTTCCCAGCCTAAGCCCTTCTCACCTCTGGGTTCTATACTTGCTTATTCAGGAGCCTCCTCAACAAGCCCAAGAGTGAGATGACCCCAGAGGAGCTGCAGAAGCGGGAGGAGGAGGAATTTAACACAGGTCCACTCTCTGTGCTCACACAGTCAGTCAAGAACAACACCCAAGTGCTCATCAACTGCCGCAACAACAAGAAACTCTTGGGCCGTGTGAAGGCCTTTGACAGGTAAGCAAAGGGTGTAGATGTAGAAAAGCTGCCTCAGCTCTGGTCTAAAGAGCCTGAATAAAAGACTTCTCAGAAGCCATAGAACAGCAGAGGGGAGGGGGCATCTTAACATCACAAGGTATGGCTGTCTCTCCTTGCCCTCCTGCTACACAGTGCAGTAGTAATGGACATGGACCTAGGAGCCAGGCTGCCTGGGTTCATGTTCCAGCTCTACCTCATAGCAGTCAGGAGCCCTTTTATAAGTGACTTTCTTATAGGTACAATAATGGTAATTGTGGGCTGTAGAGATTCGGTGACTTAATACATGTAAAGTGCCTAGTACAGCATTTGGCACACAGTGTTCTTAATCAGTTCGCAGTTATTACATAATTAGAGCATCGACCCCCATTGGGTACTATTTTAGGCTCTGGAGACACAACATGACTAACACAAACATGGTTCCTGTATTCAGGGAGTTTATGCTCTCAGTAAGGAAACCAATGGAGTGCACATAAATGTGTGTCATACGTGACGATGGGTTTTCTGAAGAAAAATGAAACAAGAGTGTAGACTGTTGGGAAAGGATCACTTCATCCCACTGTGCCTTGCATTCCTGCTCTAGAGGCTAGGGATAACAATGTTTATATAATAGTGGTTTATATGATATTATTTGTCTTATGAAGGTGAGTCTCCGCTTTTCTCCACCTCCATTAGCCTTCCAGCCCTCAGCCACCCTTTCCTGCCATGTTTGACTCCCATATAGGTGTTCAGGGGTTCCTTTGTGGAGTTAAGAGGTGTCTGTGTGTTATAGCAATGGGATTTTTGTTGTTGTGGGCTTTTTTTTAATGGGCATGTGCCACTGTGTCCAACTTTCCCTGCCAATTTCACCTCACAGTACCTCTCATACAAAGCTCCCTCACCCTCCTCGTTTTTTTTTGGTGGTGCTGGGGATTGAATTCAGGGTGCTAGGCAGATGCTCCACCACTGAGCTATACCCCTGCTGATTCTCTTCATATCACCACCTGACGGTATATTCTAGATCCCTGTTCCCTTGTTTCTTGCTCTTCTCTTGGCTGCGGTGCACACCACAAGGGCAGGCATGTTTTACTCACTGCCCCGGTGGTTGTGTTTCAAAAGATGTGTCAGCTGCATTTAGAAAGCATTTGTTGAATGAACCAGTCCCTTGCTGTCATCACACATGCCCACCCAGCACTGTGAGGCTAGGGACAACGGGACTGGAGCACAAATATCAGGTGCCACCTCAGGTCCCAGCACCCCAGGAGCCTCTAGGTCTCCAGAAGAAGGTGCTTTTCTGCTGCTCCTCCTAAATACTTAGTTAACCACACATGAGGAGCTGTGTTTGCCTTTACTCTGTGCCAGGCTTTGCTCTGAGTGCTTTTCAGAAATGCTATATTTATTCATCTGATCTTCACAGCAGTCCTATGAGAAAGGAACCATGATTGTTTCCATTTTAGAGAAGAGGAAACTGAGGCACAGGGGGATAAAGTCCTTTGTTCAAGCCTCTCTAAAAACATGGAGATGAAGCAAGCCTAGCTGTCCTTGCCCCAGGGCCTGCACCCTTCTTCATACCATGCTGCTGGGCAGAGGACGGGTATTTAGAAGATTCCCCACCAACAACAACTACTCTTGCTTCCCTACTCCCTGCCCCACCAGGCACTGCAACATGGTGCTGGAGAATGTGAAGGAGATGTGGACCGAGGTCCCCAAGAGTGGCAAGGGCAAGAAGAAGTCCAAGCCAGTCAACAAGGACCGCTACATCTCCAAGATGTTTCTGCGTGGAGACTCTGTCATTGTGGTCCTGCGGAACCCCCTCATCGCTGGCAAGTAGGGGCTCCTTCCCACTGTCAGAACTTGCTTCCCTGTCCTGTGAAGACCTGCCCTTTGTGATCGGAATAATAAAGTCCTGTTTTGTTTTTGTTTTTTAAATCCTAGTGGTATCTGTCTATTCCCAGGGCTTTGTGAGTGGGGCAGCCTTGGGAGGGAGGGAGAGGAGCACCTGGATGTGGGGCTAAATGCTGATTCCAGAGCCTCTGAGCAGGTGATGAGGCACTTTCTCTGCCCTATCCAGGCCTCACTTCTGGAACTATCCATGAAGTGGATAGGTTAGACACAAATGACCTCACTGAGAGCCCAACTCAATTTTCTTTTGGTCTTTTTTCCCACTTGTCCTGTGAGCAGACATCCCCCAGGTGTCTATCTGTATGTCATAATGCTAGGGACACAGTGGTGTCTGGGAATCCCACCCTGCCCTTGCAGGTGGAGGAGTGGGTGTGCACTTGGGGCAGGCAGCACTCTGATACTGTTAGGATGCCAGGCTCAGTGCTCCAAGGTGTCCTCCATTTTCTAGAAGAGGGAGCTGAGGCACAACAGAGGATGTCACTTCCCAGGGACATCTAGCTGGGAAGTGATGGTATGATTCAAACCTGCCCTCTCCTGGTCTTGTGGCTTCTGGTCCTGAGCTCTGCTGCCCCTCAGATTACAGCATACTTAAAACTTGAGAGGAATTCTCTACAAACTCTCGGAGGCCTTACTTATTGGGAGGATTAAGGACGATCTTCATCTTGCTGTGGTGTGCGCGGATGCATTCTGTCTTCCATCCTTGGATCTCTGTCTTCCAGATAGGGCCAAACTGCAGGTGGGTGCAAGAGTTGTCAGGCCTGAGGTCAGGATTAAATTAGATGTTAGCTGCATTCTTGAGCTGTGGAAGGCACATCTTGAATTACTCTGAGCCTCGGGGCAGAGCTGGGTCACTGCAGCAGAGAGGGAGCTGGCATGCAGGGTCAGAAAAGGTCAGTGCTGGGCATTTCATTGATGCAACCATTATTGGGCAGATATTAGAGCTCTCTCATTTATAGATGAGACAGCTGAGCCCCCAGAGAAGGTAAATGACTTGCCTGGGGTCACCCAGTGGAAAAGGGAGGCCTTATTTATGGTGGAGGATTAGAAAACAAAGCAGCTGAGTGTGGTGACAACATCTGGAATTCTAGCAACTCCAGAGGCTGAGGCAAGAGGATTCCAAGTTCAAGGCCAGCCTCAGCAACTTAGTAAGACCCTGTCACAAAAAGGACTGGGGTCAATAGTAGAGCTGTCCTGGGTTCAATCCCCAGTACTGCAAAAATAAAACAACAAAAAAGAACTGATTTTTTTTTTTGCATCCAACCTGGAAAGCCATGCCCTTACAAACAGCCTTAACTATTAGGGAGCAGGATGGAGCGGTACCATTCTTACCTGGAAAGTGGGGGCAGTGATGCTATCATGGGCGGCCGCCCTGGGGCTCTGATTCTTGTACAGGAGCAGAACCAGCACAAAACTCTCACAGTCAGATTTGAATCTCTGTCTTTCATCCCTCTGCTTATTGACTTACCAGGAAATGGAAATTGGTTTGCCTGCCTTACAAACTGGCATCAGAGATGTGTTGAGCACCATGCTGGGCATCAGTCTGAATTTCCCTCTTCATCTCTTCCCCCACCCTGTTGCCCCAAATGCTTTCGAATTGCCTCCTCCTTTGGTGCTGAAAATTGGAGAAATTTTTGCAGCAGTACCATGAGGCAAACTGGCAAAGTAAAATCTTTGGTCATGTACCTTGGACCAGTCAGTGTCCTAGTGAAGTCAGGCAACCCTAGAATGTAGGTATTACCGTCTCTCTCCATTTTCGAGAAACAGACACAGAGAATTTGGGGATTTTCCCCAAGTGACACAGATATTAAGTAGCCAGACTTCAGATATGCACCAGGCTGGTCCCTTCAGCTTTCCTCTTTCCATATTGCCCTTCTAGAGAAGCAGCCCTCAAAAAGGATGCATATGCGCAGGGCACAGTGACGCACACCTGTAATCCCAGAGGCTGAGGCAGGAGGATTGCGAGTTCAATGCCAGCCTCAGCAACAGTGAGGTGCTAAGCAACCCAGTGAGACTCTGTCCCTAATTAAAGCACAAAATAGGGCTGGGGATGTAGCTCAGTGGTCAAGTGCCCCTGAATTCAATCCCTGGTACTCTTCTCCCCCCCTCCCCCGCAAAAAAAAAAAAATGAAAAGATGCGCATGGGGCTGGGGTTGTGGCTCAGGGGTAGAGCGCTCACCTAGCCGTGCGAGGCCCTAGGTTCGATTCTCGGCACCACATAAAAATGAGTTTAAAGGTATTGTGTCCAACTACAACTAAAAACTAAATACTGAATAAATAAATTTAAAATAAGTTATGGTGTCCATCTGCAATTAAAAAATATTAACAAAAAAGATGTATATGTGTGCACACATGTGCTTATAATTTTAATTTGTATATATGGCCAGGCACAGTGGCACATGCCTGTAATCCCAGCAGCTTGGGAGGCTGAGGCAAGAGGATGGGAAGTTTGAGGCCAGCCTCAGCAATTTAGCAAAACTCTGTCTCAAAAAAATAAAAGGGGGCTGGGGATATAGCTCAGTTGGTAGAGTGCTTGTCTTGCTGGTTTAAACCGCAGCACCAAAAATAAATTCGTGGTTGAGAGCCCTGGGTTCAATCCCTAATACCAAAACAAAAAAAACTTTAGTTTGTATATGTGTCTTAAACAGTTAAGTATTAGGAGATTTACATGTAATATCCCCAACTGGGGATTTTCTTAGGCAGGGGGGACAGTGGCAGCATGTGGCTGATGTTGAGCAAGACCCCCACAGACCCTTTCCAAGCCATGCAGCTCGTCTCGGTTGTTGCCCTTTGTGCCCTGGCCAAGAAGATTCTCCCACCCAGAAAGAGAAAAGGCAATGGTTTCTCATGTTTTATTTACCAGGGCCCTACCCTGTGGCCCCCACCCCACCAGAACCCAGAGGGGTAGGGGTGGGAGTCCAGCAGGGCCATAAGCTTAGAAAGACTCCAAGTTCAGCTATGGGACACATCTGTCCGGGAGCTAGGGACCCAGGGAAACACAGCACTCAGGTACTAACTAAATCTATGGGTGGGGATGGTTGAGAGGTGAGGGCACTGCATGTGTACGGGTGGTCCAGCCACAGGACGAGGCCCTCATCTTCCCCCCAGTCCTTGCAGATCCAGGGCCGCCCATTGCAGGAGGGTGGGGTGTGCATACTCTCCCAGCTGCTCTGGATAGGTTTCTGTTCAGGCCTGCCTTGAATTGCCTGTGTCTGTATCTCCGCCCGAGTCATCTCATTCTGTTTCCAGCTCTCAGCTCTCCCACAAGGTCCAGGCCTTCTGACCCAACCCATGGCTTATGTCACCAGTGTAACATGTCCAAAGAGCATTCTTGGTTCTCCCCTCCCTGAACCCCATTTCCCCACCTTTCCTCACTCTCCCACCCCAGACCCAGGAGCTCTCCTTGACCCTTTGCCACCACACTTCCTCATGACATCCAAAGCAGGTCCTCTCTACCTTTGCAATAGCTTCAGGATCCACCTGCTTCTCACCTCTCTGTGGGCTCAGTATTTGTCCACCCCCCCACCCCTGCCCCCACCCACTGGGCTCCTGGCTTCCACTCCTGCCCATTAATCCATTTCCTGTAGAGCAGGAGATTGATCCATTTGAAACAGCCCAGGAAACACTCCTGCTAAAATCTTCATTGCACCTGAAATAAAATCCAATTCCTGTGCTCCTCATCTGTGGGCCTCTACCCCACTCCAACCCCCTCAGCCTCCTGTTCTGCAGCCACCGACAGCTCCCTCCTGCCCCAAGGCCTTTGCACATGCTTTCTTCTACCTAAAATCTTGTCTTCCAATTCTTTCCGAAGTTGTCACCTTAACCTCTTTCAGGTATTCAGAAGTGGTTTCATATCACATCTTCGGAGATGGCCTCCCAGACAGCCCCTTCTAAATTCTTTTCATGCGCCACTTCACAGCCTATGTGTAGCTTCACATTTTGTGTTCACGATCAGCATCCCCCACTCAGTTGGGATCTCCAGGAGAGCAGGGACCTTGTCTTCTGTTCCCTTCTTCCCAATTTCCCCAGCGTCCCCCGCACCGGGTCTGATACACAGTAGGCACTCAATAAATACATGCTCACCACAGACACAGGATTCCCATACTTAGCAGTAACTTTCCAAAACCCGGCTGCCCTCATCCCTAGGCCCTGGTAGCGCCCCCAAGGACAAGGCACTGCCGACGCGGATCTTGCCCCGGTCAGAGCCCGAGGGCAGGGCCCGGGAAGGGGGCTCCGGGAGCTTGGGCCGCTGCTCCTTGCCGAGGCTGCGGCGCAGGCGGCAGTGGTGCCAGCCGCGGCGGATCTCCGACTGCACCTGCAATGGCAGAGCGCTCAGGGGCGGCGCGGTTCCTCGCGCCGCCGCCAGAGGGCGTGGGCGGTCCTCTCCCTACCTCCTTGTTGACGAAGCAGTAGAGGACGCTGACCAGGAAACCCTGCGGGAGGAGGACCTGGGATCAGATCACAGGTAGCCATGGCATTGGAACCACCCTCTTAATGAAGCTAGAACTCTTGTCCCGCCCCAAAGCACTTTGGCTGTTGCCACCCTGGTCCTAGACTATGGCCATCACCTGCTCCCTGGCTCCCAACTCCTCTCATTGCCCTAACCTGTTTGCTGAGCAATAGGGGTTGAGAACAGGGGACTTGGACATAGCAGCCTGGAGGCAAAAACTCTTTTCCTACTTCCACACTTAGAAATGCTCAGTTTCTTCATCTGGAAAGTGGAGCATCCAATGGTGATTAACATTGCAAGAAACTAGTTTCTGGTACATACATACAGTTAACCTTTGTTTTCCTTGCTTAATCTTATTAGAATTTGTTGTTATATAGCATCCATTATAAATAAATTATAAGTAGTTTATATTTTTATAAGTCTATATCTGTATACATCTGAATTTATTTATTTTGCAGTACTGGGGATTGAACCCATGGGTGCTATACCACTGAGCTACATCCCAGCCCTTTTTATTTTTATGTTGAGGCAGGATATAAGTTGCTGATGACAGCCTTGAACTTGGGATCCTCCTGTCTCAACTTCCTGAGACTCTGGAATCTATGATGTGCATACCCCACCTAGCTCTACATCTGAATTTAAAGAATTTAAATAAAGGCAAAATGGGACTGGGTGAAGCTCATGGGTAGAGCTTGTGCTTAGCTTGTGTGAGGTCCCCAGCACCAAAAATAGCTTAACTAAAAATGTGTTTCTGAGGTTGGTGGCATAGACCTGCTGTAATCCCAGTGGGAGGCTGAGGCAGGAAGATTGCGAGTTCAATAGCCAGCCTCAGAAACTTAGCAGACCCTGTCTCAGAAAAGAAAGCAGGGGAGGTAGTTGAGGATGTGGCTAAATGGTGGAAAATGCCTGGGTTTAATCCCTAGTAACAATATATTTTTTTATTTTACAGTCAATAACTTAATTGAGGGCTGGGGTTGTGGCTCAGTAGTACAGTACTTGCTTAGCATGTATGGGGCTCTGGGTTTGATTCTTAGCACCACAGATAAGTAAATGAATAAAAATTAAGGTCCATTAACATCAAAAAATATTAAATTTTAAAAAAATTAATTGATAAATTTAAAAATCAAGGCCGGGTGCAGTGGCGCATAGCTGTGCACACCTGTGATCCCAGCAACTCAGAAGACTGATGCAGGAGTGCATGTCGGAGACAAGCCTCAGCAACTTAGTGAAACCCTTTCTCAAAATAAAAAAAATTAAAAAGTTGGTAGTGTGGTTCAGTGGCAAAGCATCCCTGGGTTCAATCTCCAGTACCAAAAAAATTTAATATCAATTATATATATGAGCTATTATTAAGATATTACTTATTATTTCCCACAATCGTATTTAAATCTAACTCAGATCACATTCCTCCTCTTTTAGCAGAAAAAAAAAAAAAAAGCCAACTAAAGTTTGGCTCAGGAATTTGGTCTCTGAGACCCCTCACTTCTCTGTCCTCACACCCACTTCCTGCTTCTGACTCCTGAGCTCCAGGCACCCTGTCCTCCCTGCCTTATAATCTGGCCCCTGGCATTTCTCTTCCTGGAACATTTGCTCAAATATCTACCTGGCTGTTCCTTTGCCTTTCTTGGGACTCTGCCCCAATGTCTCCTTCTTAGGAAGGCCCTCCTTGACCCCCTGTCTAAAATATCAACCCCATCTTTCCATGGATACTCTTCATTTTTCTTTTCCTGTCCTCTCTCTTTTCCACCTCCTAATATTCTGTTTATTAGGGTGTGTGTGTGTGTGTGTGTGTGTGTGTACATAGATGTATACACACACCACCTAATATTCTGTATATTCTATTTATATAGCATCTTTAGTATCTGTCTTTCCCACTAGAGGATAGAGACCATTTGGCTCTTGGCTGTATTTCCACGATAAGCCTGGAAGAGAGCTTAGATATACATATAAACCTTCAACAAATTTTTTGCTGAATATAATGAATAAACAGCCTTGTGAGGTGAGACAGGTATTGTCCCCGTTTTAGACATGAGAAGATTGAGGCCTAATGAGGTAAGGCTGGGGTAAGGCAATCAAGTGCAGCCTTAAACTTGGAACAGCCACCTCCTTAACCTCTCCACCTCACGCATCTCACTTGCCTCACTCCAGCCCCCACCCAGAGGCCAGAACTGCACAGCTGCCAAGCAGCGCTGAGGGGCAACTGGAATGTGCTTCCAGCTCTGTCCTCGCTCCTCACCTGGAAGCAGTCCTGCTGTGGTCACCCAGGTTCCTGCCTTGGTCCCCGTGGCTCCCCCAAGCCCGAGGTAGCCCAGGCTAGCTCAGCACTGCGTGTCACATGCATAAATGAATGAAGGAACAAAATCCCATCTTCACGCCCCATGGAAGGCCTATTCAGAGAGGATCATAGACCTGGCGCCACTATGGAAGAGGGCGCTAGAAGGAAGTGTGCAGCCCCGCATCTGCCTGAGCACCTGGAAGGAGCTTAGGAAGATCTCAAAGCCGAGCTTGGCAAAGCGGAGAGCGCCGCGGGCCTGTTCCTCCGTCACGGGAGCAAACACCACTTCGTGGACACCCAGCAGCGGCACCAGCGTCAGCGTGGAGCGAGCCAGCCTGGGCAGAGAGGGGGGCAGTGTCCTCAGGCCGCCGCACCCCGTTAGCGGCCAGCCCTTCCCGCTGGGCCTCACCTCAGGCGGTAGTCTGGGCAGCGCATCTGGTGCGTCCTCAGCTTGGACACAAGAATGCCAAGAATGCGGATAAAGATGAGGAAATTAATCTGTGAGAAGAGAGAAGCTGAGCCAGACACGACCCCACTCTGGAGGGCAGGAGTGGCGCCCCGTTTCCCAAAATGGGAAATCCCCAAGGATGGCCTGGAGGATTGCAGGAGCGGCCATACCAAGATGGTTATGAGGATAGGGGTGCGTATGATCCACCAAATAGCCTTGACCTCGTTCCGCTCCCAGCACCTGGGGGATGCAGGGTCGCACTGAGACACAGAAAAACCCTAGACTCACCGGATCTCTGGCAGGTACACTCTGCAGGCCCCGCCCACCATCCTTAAGTCCCACCCACTTCCCTTAAAGCCCCGCCCATGACTATTAAGGCCCCACCCCATCCCCTTTCCAGGAATCCTTGAACCTTTCCAAGATCCCCTTTCCTTTGCTCCCCGCCCACATTGGCCCCAGCCGGTTTCCCATGTTTCCATCCCTCCCCGCCCACATCCCTCAAAGCTCCGCCCACCTCCCAGGTCCTGGCCCAGACCCGCAACTCACTGCGTGTTCTCGTACAGGTACCTGACGATCACCCAGGGAATGACGAAAAGCGCGGGGGCCCCTGTGCAGACCCCGACCCCCACCCCCCACCCGGCCGCAGCTGTCAGCGCGCTCACGGGCCCTGCCAGGCCCAAGACCCGCGGAATCTTCTGCCCTGATGGGGAGGCAGAAGCCTAAAGAGGGGAGGAGACCCCTGAGGTAGACCAGCTGGGCAGTGGGGGAGCCGAGGCGCGCTGGGCTGGGTGGGGGAGAGAGTCGGGGCTCACCCCAGCCGAGGAGCAGGTAGCAGCAGAAGTGGCCCTCCTCAGAGCCTCCCACCAGCACTAGGAGCCGGTGCAGGTAGACGCCCTCCACCAGCAACCACGTGTAGTTGGCACCCACGCAGTACTGGGTCAACGTCTGGGCGGTGCGGCAGGCGGCTAAGGCCTAGGGAGCCGTCAGACAGGGGTAGAGGGCAGTCAGGGTGGCCAGGTGACCCCAGGTCTTCCACCTGGTAACCCTTCCACCTCATCTCTTGCCATCAAATGATCTCCCACTCTGCCCTCAGTGGATGGTAACTGGCTGGTTTCTCACACCCCAGTCTCTTCCAATATGGACTCTCTCACTCTGTCCCCTTAACAGTTGGCATCTTCCATTTGTCACCAGAGCCCCCCCTCCATCACTCCACAATGTGGCCTCTGACACCCTAGCTCTGTCTGAAAACTGGACTCTCCTGCCAGCTTATGGACCCCTCCAACTCATTCTCATCCTTTTTTTTTTTTTTTTTTAAACCCCGGATTGAACCAGGGGCATGTGGCTACTGAGTCACATCCCACATCCCCAGCCCTTTTCCCTTTTTATTTTGAAACTGGGTCCTGCTAAGTTGCTTAGGGCCTCACTAAGTGCTGAGGCTATCTTGGAACTTGTGAGTCTCCTGCCTCTACCTCCCACAGGCTGATGTGCCCTCTACCCATCTCTCAGTTACAAACTGGTGGCTTCCAACCCTCCCCCCCACTCCCAGTTAGTTTCTCCCACCCTGTCCAGCTGGCCTCCAGGAGGGAGGCTTCCCTAACTGGTGAAAAAGTCTATTGATGGGTGCAATCATGAGGGAGAGGGAACGAGAAATTCCAGTAAATGGGAATGATGGGGGAGGCTGAGCTGGAAGGGTCCCTTTCCAGATGTGTCAGGAGGGGTCAAGGGGGAAACTGTTGATGCTGGAACAGGTAGTAAATGGGTGGAGGACTTCCTGATCCCACCAGTAGGGGCAGTTTCCCATTTGAAGATCAGGAGGAGGATGCACACCTGATTCCACAGTGTGGGGCCACGGTCCCCAGGGTAGGGGCCAGGTGGAGGTAGCAGCCGATCTCGGGTGAGGATGGCTGCAGCTCGAAGCATGAAGGATGTGAACAGGTTGATGTGGATGTAGTTACGGGTGCAGCGCAGCCGCCTGGGGGATATGAGAGGCCCTCTGAGAACCCCTGGAGAGCAGTCCTCAGTCCCACAGTGTCCCTTTTACCACTCATGAGCCCTTTTCATAGAGCCCTCAGTGAGGGCTTGAAGGTAGTGGCATAGAGGAATCTGGCCTCCACGCCCTCCACTTTTTCCACGGGCCCTTAACTACACAGCCACATCCCCAGACCCCCAGCCCTTTTATTTTGTATTTTATTTAGAGACAGGATCTCACTGAGTTGCTAGGGCCTTCCTGAGTTGCTAGGGCTGAGGCTGGCTTTGAACTCGCAATCCTCATGTCTCAGCCTCCCAAGCTGCTGGGATTACCGTACCCATATCTCTGCCACTGCCACTCAGGGCTGGGGATCCCACCTGAAGAAACTCAAGATGAGCAGGGCAAGCAGCAGAGTGGCAAGGGATAAGGAGTAGCCGATGGTGTACACCACCTGCAGCCGCTCCAAGATCAGCCTCTGGTCCTGGCGGGGACAAGGAGGACATGAGAACAAGACTTGGCTCTTCCCTCAGGCCTAGGCAGGGAATCCCCCTAAATTTCCCAGCATATCAGTTTTCTCTTGAGGCACCTCCTACCCTGTTTCTGTGGGGCTGACTCCACCCCAGCTCCAGGGCTGGGTTCATTACCAATTGTCTGACCTGCCCCCCCCCCCACACACACACACTGTGGTAAATTCAGGGAAGGCACAGGACTCAAACCAGGACAACAAGAGTCAATCCCGGAACACTTATGGAGAAGGAAGCTCAGTCTTCCCACAGTGTGGCTTGGTTTCTGTGGGTGGAAAAAGGGTGCCAGTTCAGGCCACCCTTTTTCCACCCACAGAAAAGATGGGACAAACAGGCATGATATGGTGAGAGACAGGACCCACCATATAATTTGAGCACCTTGATCTTGCTGTACCTGAAGCTATTGCTGTATACTGTGCTTTTCAATCACAGAAGTCAGTGTGTCTCTTTTTTCTCCTTTAAGCCAGGATTCAGTTGGGTCTCCATTACTTGCGACCCAAAATCCTGAACAGCACAAGGGCCTTCAGGCTCAGCCTGAGGCTACTGCCTTTTCACCTCTCCCTAGACTTCCTACCCTGAATCCCTTGCCTTTTCTTTTTTTTCTTTTAATATTTGTTTTTTAAGTGTAGATGGACACAACACAATGCCTTTATTTTTATGTGGTGCTGAGGGTCAATCCAGGTCCTGTGCGGAGCCACAATCCCAGCCCCTCCCTTACCTTTTCTTACCTGAAAGGAGCCATTCTTCTCTGGATCCTCACACTGGGTGTGGTCTCTCCAAGGTCCCCACTGGCCATCACTACCACACTGTCGGAGAACAAAGCCTGTGGCCACTGTGAGATAATAGAGGGGATCAAGGGACAGACAAAGAGAAAAGCAAACTGTAGGGCTGGGCTGGGGCTCAGTGGTAGAATGCTTGCCTAGCACGTGTGAGGCACTGAGTTCAATCCTCAGCACATAAAAATAAATAAATAAAGACATCAAAAATATATATATATATTAAAAAACTGTTAACAGAGCACTGTGAAATGATGGTGGTGGTGATAAACCCTTTTATAACGTTTTATATGTATCAATCAGCTTAATATTCATACAAGCTTATGAAAGTGGTACTATCATTAATACCATTTTACAGATGGGGAAGCTGAAATACAAAAGCAGTTAAATAAACCACACGAAGCTACATAGCTAGTTAGGCCAGGAAGACCACAGGTGCCCAAAGACAAAGACAGGCTCCAAAAGAGGAAAGACAATAAGAACACCAGTGATCCTTAGATGAGCTGACGGGAGGGGCATTGTGCAAGAGAAAGCCAGAGTTAGACAGGGGACAGGGACACCAAGCCTGATAGAGACGGAAGGAGGACAGAGGGGCAGGGGACAGAAAGAAGCAGAAAGGGGTGTAGATGAGTTGCAGGGTAGTCTGAGCATAAAGGACCAGAGAGCACCTCACCGTGGCGGTGCCAGGGCAGGTACCAGGGACAGGACGCACGCGCAGTGACGTTGGGTGCAGCATAGTCCCAGCAAACGTACATATCGAAGGACCCATTACAGGCGAGGCCTGGGGGCGGACGTGGAGGTCAAAGGCTGAATGGACCTACTGTGCGGCCAGCTCAGTGTTCCATCCGCCTAACCCCACCTGGATCTCCTCCCACTAAGCAATTTGGGTCTCTAGATTCTTCCCACCTAGACAGAACCTTCCCAGACCCCACTCAAACCCCGCCCCCCGCAGTGCAGGCTCCGCCTAAGACCCCTCCCATTTCAAGCTTCTCGGGCCTCTCTGACTAATGGCATCCCACCCAGTACCCACCTTAGTCAGGTTTAAGCCCCTCCCACCAAGGCCAAGCCCCACCCACGTGTCTCTGACACAGCCCACACCAATCCCGGGTTTCTCCCCTTTCAGACCCCGCCCCAGGCCCCGCCCGTCAGTCCTAGGCCCGCCCCAAGCCCACCCCTCTCAGCCCCAGCCAGCTCTCCCTCCCCTCCCACCCGTCCTGGTCGTACCTGGGGGCGGCTCCGCGGCCTCCAAGGTCTCCTGGCACTCCCTGCGGTACCGTTCCCAGCGCTGGTACAGCTCCCCCGACGTCTGCCCCTCAGAGCCTGTCTACAAGAAGACAGAAGGGAGGACCCCCCAAACCAATCCTCTCCCCCGCCAGAGATCCCCTAGAGAGACTTGGAGGGGCTGTTCAATTTGGCCCTGGAGTCTCGGGTGGCCTAGAAACCTCTTTGAAGTTTTTGGGGTTGCCTAGAAGCCGCAGAGGGATTTGTTGAGGGAGATTGCAAACCTTTAAGAAAATTGAAGAGGGAGTGGACTTCACCAGGAGGATTTGTAGGGGGAAGGGGACTGGAAACCACCATCAAAACTTGAACGTGAGCGAGAGAGGCAGTCTTAAAACTCTCATTGAGGTGGACGGAGACATAACACAGTCCCCAGACCTCCCTCCAAGCTTTGAACCGTGTCCCCTCCGGTCCTCACCTCCGCCCTCCGGAGCGGCAGTCCCCACAGCCAGAGGAGCAGCAGCAGCCGCAGGGGCGGAGAGTTTGGCATCCTGAGGGCGACGATGGGTCTGGCCACCCAGAGGCGGTCGAGCCTGGAGAAGTAGAGTCAGCACCTCTGACCCCCGCCCTCGGACCCCCAACTCCAGGGCCCACCTGCCTTAGGGATTCCTACAGGGGCACTGAGAAGCAGCAGCCTCCTCTGCTGCCTCCACGCGTGAGGATTGGGGCGGGGCAGAGGCGTGTGGGTGGGCGGGGCCCCAGGTGGTGGGTGGGGCCGAGATCCGAGGCGTGATTCCTCTGCCGCCCCCAACTGTTGCTGGGGCAGCGGCGGTGGAAGGGAGGGGTGTTTGCAGAGGGGGCGGTTGCCCTAGAGCTGGGCTGGGCAGAAGCGTCAGTGTCACCCAGGGTCTACACCTAGAGACTGACGGAGCCTGGGGACAGCCTTGGAGAAGAGGGAGTAGAAACCCTCATCCAAGCCTGGGGGGAGCTCAAAACAGCCATTTGAGCTCCCATTCGCCCAGCCAAAAGGGTTTTCAAATTGCAAATAGGAACCCAACCTTATACAAAAATATCCCATGCCCGGTGGATAAAGGCCAGAGTCAGTGGGACAGCCCTCTCCCAGCATCCAAATATTGGGGACCAGAGAGGCCTTAGACCTGGGTTTGGGTCTTCAGGGTCCCAGATACCTGAAAATTCTTTGTTCTAACCCCCAACACCCATCCCCACCACCCTGCACACCCACTGTGTAGGGGAAGGGGACAGCAAGGGGGATCTCAGATATAGACCCAGAAAGACAAACGCAGAGTCAGAAATACAGAGACCCAAAGACTGAGAGACAGTGAGACACACAGCCAGAGACCAGATACCAAAAGATCAGAGAAAGAGACAAAATTGTGGGCTAGGAGACAAAGAGGTGGGGAAAGCATGGAAAGAGAATGAAAAATGACCAAGAGCTGGAGGATAAGGACTCCGGGCACCGAGGGAGAGTGACAAAGGCATAGGCTGAGAGACGGGGGGGGGGGGGGGGGGGGACCCGGAGCTGAATTGAAGGAGGGTCGAGGGCAAGGTGAGTGGATTGGGAGGGGACTCCTCACCTGTCCCCAGTCCTGTACCCGATCACTTGCTCCTGCAGCGCCTGTGTGCCTCCACTGCCTCCCCTGTGCTCTGGAAGAGGTGACAGGCACTGGCAGCCTGGGGTGGTGGGAGGGGGCGGGGCCATGGCGGAACTGAGAACAGGATGGGGAGCTCTGGGGCAGGGAGCAGAAGGAGGGGCAGCCAAGTGCATCACGGTCCCGCTGGAGAGCAGTCACAGTTATCATCCCAAGGGCCACCCCCCACACCATTGTGCACAATTTCTCACACTCCCATTCACAGAACACAGTGTCCCACCCAGCACTGACAGAGCCTCAGTCACACACACTGTCACACACAGTCCTATATGCTGAGCCAAAGGAGAGACAGTCACAGAACCTCGCACGCTGTCACTCAGACTCTCACATTCATTCACAGCTGTACAGCCCCAGCCACACCCAGAGAGCCACAGCCTCTCACCCACAGGTTGACAGTCATCCAGAGTGGCACTTGCCCAGGTGCCCGGGCTGTGGACTGCTACACACACACAGTGACACAATCACAGTTTCCCACAATCCTAACAACACTGTCAATGAGACATTCACACATTCACTGGGTCATGGCACAAATACTGTCCATCTCCCCGGCTGGCCTGTGTGTCCCAGGAGGACAGGTCCAGGCACCTCGGTGACCACCCCATCACAGCATGCCCACAGCGGGAGCTCCAGGAGCGGTGTCAGTGGCATGAACACGCCCCAGTACGTGCTTCCCGTGGCCATACAATCCACCTGTGACACGAGCCAAAGTCACACACGGTGTTAGGCAGCCTCACCCACAAAGTCTCACACTCTTCACATGGTTTCCCAGAGTTCACAGCCACACCCCAATGCACACATGCCCAATGTCACTGAGACACACTCAAGCTCTGAGGGTCACACCGTCATATGTCACCTCACTGACAACCACACCCAATGACATACACAGTCATCCAGACACAACTCTTCCTGAGAGTCCTGCCCTACTCACAAGTCACAGGCATTCCTACATGAGTCACGCATGTGGTCCCCCCACCCAGTCACACCGTCACACAGTGCCACATACTGTGACCTCACAATCAGATACTAACCCACTGCCTCACACTGTCTCTTGGTGACAGTAACCACTGTCACACACATTCTTACAACCTCTGCTTCCGGTCTTGTCCCGACTCTCAGCGTCCCCGTCCCCCTCGATCCACACTCGGTTCAGGCACATTAATCATGCTGTGAACATTCCTGAGCACACACTCCCCGGGGACCTAGAAGATAACTGGGACAGAGGTGAGTCTGCCCATTTTGCAGAAGAGAAACTGAGGCCCAGGAGGGGCAGGGCATCAGGGGTAGTGGGAATCTGCACCAGAAGCTGAAAGGAGCTGAGTGGGGGGACGGGGGTCCTCGCCTTGGGGCCTCTGGCGGCCCTCCCTGCTCTCTGCCCCACATTCCTGGCGCCCTCAGGGTCCTGGGAAAGTCAGTCCCTAGAGTGGAGAGGAGAGGGGTCTGAGATTGCCCAGCACCTCGAGGAGAAGCTGGGGCTGGGAAGGAGTCTCCTTGCCCCCAAGAGGGCCTCAGGGTCACTCACTGAGGAAGGAGGGAGGGGGAGGAGGGACGGGGGAGGGAGACGTGGAGAGGAACCGAGGTGGTGAGACCCAGGAAAGGAACCAAGACCGAGAAAGATGGAGAAGGCGAGAAAAAGACTGGAAGAGAGAGAGGGAGGGAGAGGGAGGGAGAGGGAGGGAGAGGGAGGGAGAGGGAGAGAGAGGGAGGCAGAAACAGGAGAGAAAGCAGGGCCCAAGACCCTGACAGAGACAGAAATACAGACCCGGACTGAGACAGGGAGACTGACAGATGGCAATAGCCGCATGGAGAGGGGCCTGGAGGACGGGCCCTGGGGGAGACATGAGGGGCACTCTTCACCCCTCGAGGAGAACAGGGCGGGCAGGGAGGGTCAGGCATCGAGGTCCAGCTATTCTGGGTCCTCTCCGGTCTCCCGGGGTCTGAGAGGAGGGCAGCAGGACCACAGGTGGCCACACGGTCCCTGTCCAGCTCCCATGCCCAGGGGTTCTGGAAACTTCAAGCAAAAGAGAAGCCAAGCGCCTTCCAGGCCACCTAGGTCCTCCCAGGCAGGCACATGCCACAGACCACTGGTCCCAGGGACCCAGAAGCCCACACCCGTCAACACTCTCCTGTTGAGTCTCCATGGTCCTTCGCTAATGCTGTCTCCACATTTAGCCTGCTCTCTCCCCAGTGGAGGCCTTTCTCCTCCTCCTCTGCCCCCCCCTCTCTTTCTCCCCTGCACCTGCCTCCCTCTCTCTCTCTCTCTCTCTCTCTCTCTCATCAAGAATTGAACCCAGGGGCGCTTAACCACTGAGCCACATCCCCAGCCCCTTTTTATATTTTATTTAGAGACAGGGTCTCCCTGAGTTGCTGAGGCTGGCTTTGAACTCGGGATCCTCCTGCCTCGGCCTCCCCAAGCATGTATCACTGCGCCCAGCACCTTCTTTCTTTGGTCCAAATCCCTTTTCCTTTGCTCTAACCCCACCCTCAGCTCTTTCCCTCTTCCTTCCCTCCAGTCTCTGCCTCTCTGCGCTTCTCTGACTACCTGTCTGCCTCTCTGTTCCTCGGGGTCACTGCCCTTGACCTCTCTTCTTCCTCTCCCTCCCTTTCCATCTCTCTAGGTGTCTGTCCCAGCTGTTTTTCTCTCTGTCCCTGGTCCTGGGTTTCCTGGCTCTTGTCTCGTGCTCTCCGCCCTCAGCACTGACCAGGCAGGGTCCCTTGCCCCTGGCCAGCATCCCATCCTGGGGGGGAAGCTGGAAGGCCTGTGCCTCCCCCCATGGGGCTGCCTGGCCAAGCAGAGCCTGCAGGGAGCAGGCGGGGGCCTGGGGGGGTGGCAGATGGTGCAGGAGAAATGAGGCAGAGAGATATGGGGAGATGGGGCGCCCCATGGGGACAGAGGCCAGAAATGGGAGGCAGAGATGGCTCCCTGAGATGCAAAGCAGGAGACATGAGGCCTGAGAGACAGAGCATGAAGACACACAGGAACAGAGATACAGAGGGAGCCGCCACCAACGTGGGGGCCAGAGAGGCAAGACCCAGAGAGAAGGCCTAGAGGCAGCATCGGAGAGACTGTGACATGGGGACACAGGACCCAGAGGACAGGAACCCAGAGATAAAAAAAAACATATCAGAGACAGAGAAATGGAAAGACAAACACAAAGACTATGGGGATCCAAAGACAGAGGTAAAGAGACGCGGAAGCCAGAGACAGTCCCGAGAGAGGGAAACATGGACATGAGGATGGCCCCCAGACAAAGGGCCAAGGACACAGAAAGAGACTCAGAGAGATGAGCCTGGGAAGCACAGCTCTGGATACCCAGAGAGAAGAGCAGGACAAAGATGGAGATAAAGAGATGGCAGACACAGAGAGAGGCCTGGAGCACAGTGCAGCGGGAATGGAGTCACTCTCCAAAGACACAATCCAGGAGAGGCAGACCTGGCTCCCCTTAGTCTCTGGGGGCCTGGAGGGGGTGCATGTCGCCATAGCAACCTCCCCAGATCCCGAGGGCAAACACTGTCCTGGTCAGAAGCAGCAGAACTCTGTTGACATACTCTCATGCTGGGAGGGGTGGGGGCTGGGGGCCCAAAGGCCAGGCTGGGAGCAGGAGAGCAGAGGGGCTCTCAGCGGGGACTTTATAGACTGCTCCAGCCTTCTCCCCACCTCAAATCCCAAGCAAACATCCCCCTGGAAGGAGCCACTGTGGGGGTCCCTGCCTGCTCCCTGGTGGCAGCTGTGGACAATCCCTGAATCCTCTTGCCAAGTACCAGAGAAAACAGGCTGACCTAAGAATTTCCTTCATTTTCCTTCAGGGTTCTTGAACCTGGTCCCATCTGCCACCACCACCCCCAGAAGGGCAGCCAGGCAGCCAGAGGGATCATGCTAAAGCAAAAAGCTGATCCTGCTCCTCCCCTGCTAGGAACCTGCCATGGCTCCCCAGGGCCCTCAGGAGAAACTTCATCTTTGCCAAGCTCTCCAGCGTGGTCTCCAGGCTTTCCTAACTCTTCCGACTCTGCCTCGTGCCCCTCAACCTTTGTTCCAACAGCTTTCTCTGCCTGAACTTTGTCCTGTCTTCCAAACCCATCCTCAAGTTAGTTTACTAGTCATTCAACAAACAGTTCTTTTCCATATTAGAGCATGAACCCTATGAAGGTAGGGTCATGGTAGGACTGGGGTGGGGCTGCGAAGGTCATTGCTCTGTTCCCAACATCGCCCAACGCAAGTTCAGCAAAGAGCAGGTTGAATTCACTTTCCTCAAAACTTACGTACCAGGCTCTGAGCTTGGCCATGCTGGAGACTGGGACAACCTGTGCCATGGCTTCATGGAGCAAGTGTTCCAAGCCTAGACCCAAATAGGGAGACAGACTGACAGAAGGAGAGGGAGAAAGAGTCAGAAACACAGAGGAAAAGGTGAGCCTGAGAAAGACAGCCAGGCATCAGTAATGATGATGATGATGGTGATGATGATGATGATAATAGTATAATGGGTATCATATATTGAGCATTTTGCATATGTCTCAGTCCTCATAATAGGATAGAGCTATTATATTATTCTGATTTTCCAGATGAGGAGGCTGGGGCTCAGAGAGGGGAAGTAACTTGCCCAAGGCAACACAGCTCATAAATAAATGATGAAAGGAGTGCCCTGCTCATCCAACCTCAAAACCCAGTTTCCAGACAGAGATATAAAACCATACAGAGACAGCGATGAGAAAGAAAAACGGCATAGAGAAGAAAACCTAGAGGCAGGGAGAAGAGGCTGTGAGCCCTGCCTACCCCCTCCACCCTCCAGCACAGCCACCCCCCAGCAGGGCCACCCCTCCTACTCCTGTCTCCCGGGGCCCTTGACATCTCCCTGCGAAAACCACTTGTGATAAAACCAGCTCCATTAACTGTACCCAAAACCACGGTGCAAAACACTTAACAAGCATGATCTCGCTCAGCCGGCTCTTCTCCCCTGGAGAGTGGGCACTGGATGACGCCCATTTTGCAGAGAACAAGACAAGCCACTGAGCCAAGGTCACTTTGCTC